ACTTGCCTTTACAGTTTTTTTAAAAAATATTCTACATACCCTCTATGTTTTCTTATCCATGTTTCCATGTTTTTGGAAGGTTAGCTCAACCAGAGCACTTAAGCCATTGACAGTCAGTTTAAAGAAGTATGTTGAATACATTGTTAACTTTTTATTCATTGCCTTTTATAATTTTTTATGGTAGGGGATTAAATGTGGAACAACGACAATAATGCTGAGATATTTGCAAAACTCCGGGCCGCAGGCGTCTGCGCTGGGGAGCGAACGCGCTATTACCCTTTCCGGGGGCTAAGGCGTTGACCACCACACCATGCAGGTCCTTCGTTTAGTCTGTTTCTCAGCTAATTCTATCGATTAGCGCCATCAGCAATCACCGATCAACGGGATAGATCTACGGAGCCCAAATCGGCAATGGACTAAGTGAAGCTAAGGTTGCACCTGCGGTTTGGAGTTTTGCAAATATCTTAGCAACATTGTGTATGTTGAATATACTTCAACTTTTTTATATATCTTCTATATTCGCAGGCTTTAGACAAGAGTGGGTCAACGTGGGAAAGATGCTGATTGAATACAGAAAGCACGAGAAAAAAAAACTGCTTATAAGTGTTGAAAAATAAACGGTCTTAAAGAAAGGCACTGAAATTAAGGCATGCAATTCACTAAGCCAATCTTACTTATATACTGAAGCAATTCATGAAATCACGAATGTGGTAGCCTCGCATGGCCACAAAACATCGAAAATGTGATAGCACACAATGTAACTGTCAGGTCTGCCTTGCTGATGTAAATGGAAGCGCTCTCCATATTTCAGATAAAGGCAATCGGTCGTTGTGTATGCTTAGCCGATCACGAAGACATGGCGGGACTTGTACGACGAGCAGCTCAAGAGGTATGTAACCAGAATTACTTCTATATAGTGCAGTACTCTCAGTGACAGTGTGAAAAGCGAATATTGCGATGGATGAAGGGGAAATACTGAATCCGCTGCAAACATTGACCACCATCGAGCGGTCCATCCTTCCGGATTGCGGAAACTGCTACTAGACATAGCTGGTATGAGCCCCTTCCATGCAGTCCACAAGGGTATACTCTACACGACTATATCGGGACTCTAGGAACAGTGAACCTGACACGAGCATTCAGCGACATTCATAACGAAGAAATTCTCAAGGAGCAGCGGAACCCATGCGCAAGCAGCTGGGAAATTTTCGTGGATGATGGTTGTGAGGAAATAAATCGAACGCGATAAGTGCTGGGGTTCGTACGGTAAATGCAAAGATGGATAATGTAAGAAAATACCAATTTCTATCTTTATTCCTCAGAAGGTTGAGTCGTCGTTTTCACGACAATCCTCGTAGCGAAATCATTCGAGGAACATCACATCAATTCTTATGTGATGACACGTGATGGACAGTGAGGTTCTCTGGCTAGCACAGACTTGTAGAGGCAAGAATGTGACCATTTTAAGAAATCTAGTAGGAAATGATATGATAATCCAATAACTCTGTATTCTTATTGAGCAAACACGAGGTATTACTCCATTCTTTATTTTGATAAAGCTATAGCAAATGATAATCTTGTTGAACCATAACCGAAAGGACTGCTATCACAGACATAGGGGTTAAGGGCGATGTCGGAAAATTATAATCTGAGCGCCAAGACAGCGATTACTTTCGAAAAACAACTCAGAACCATGTAACCTATCAATCTCAAAGCACTGTCAAAACTTTTGTGTTGTGAGGCAAATGTATGAGGATCGTACAGAAACTATCCTGGCTATGAAGGTATTTATATCAGTAAGTCCAATATTAAATTAGACACAGCTTTAATTTCAGCTGAACGAATTTTAAGAGAATTATGGCTATCCGAAATTAAAATCAAGGTTCATTATTTACCGCCTATTACTTTTTACATGGAAGGGTATTATGTGAAATACAACCATAATGATTATGAGGTAGATTTGTGCTCTCCAGACCAATCCCACTGACGGGTGATTGCTCATGGCACCGTTAGGTAGAAAACTAGCCGAGAGAAAAGCAGAGCAAGGGCGTCCGTGGTGCAGTGTTTGATGCGCGAGCACCCGGCAAGGGTAATCGTGGTTCGATCTGGCCCGGGATCCAAGTTTTGCAAACAAACAAACAAAGCAAACAAAAAAAAAGCTTTGCGAATCGTTGTGATACTGAGATAGTTGCAAAACCTCGGACCACATACCAGATTCGAATCTGGGATTCCCTATCTACGCGGTCGCATGTTACCCAATGCACCACTGATGGCCTTGCTTTGCTTCCCTCTCGGGCAGTTTTCTACCCTAATGGTGCCATATGCAATCAACCATCAACGGAAATGATCTGGCGAAACAAATTGTCAGTGAACCCAGGTGAGCTGCTGTGGTCGAATGTCACAATGTGATCACAATGAACAACTTTTTATTCGTTATCCATTATTTTTTCGTGGCAGGTTATTATGTGAAGTATAACCTAAGTGCCGGTTGAAATCACGATGAAATTGTCCAATCGCTCTGTGGGTGTCGTGCAATATTCTTAACATGGTTGAGGTATCAGCCCATGTTTCTGATGCACAACAGAGCGCTGGGGACTGTTCAATGGAAAAGGTGAGCGCGGAGTTTTGGAACCATTAGCTGGTTGGTAGCTTCTTTGGGTGGCCCACTTGCGGCCTATGCTGCTCTCCTCCTTCTGTATCATTCCTCCTTCGTGTTGTTCTCCATGTTCATTGAACGTTCAAAGTGGTTTGTGTAATCAGAGAACCATCCACTTTGATTTGTTTGCCTTCGCACCATAAGTTATTCATGAACTCGGTCTTCGTCCTATTTATGTGCCGTCCAATCTTTTTTCTTCGTTTCGTTGAGTTCATTGAGCATCATCTCTACTTCACCAGCACTCCTCGAAAAGGTGGAGATGCCAACCGCTAAACGAAGATTTGCTAGGATTTTCCCACCGATACGTATGCCGTTCTAGTCTCAATCGAGTGACTTCGTTATCCACTGCAGTGCGGAAGTAAACAGGGGATATTGCGCTGCCTTGTCCAATCTCCATTCCTATGGGTATGGTGAGCGGTCAATTAAAAAGCTGTGGATTTGTGCTGTACTTCGGGTAACAATCTTCTGGTGTTCGTACATACAACGGGTCCACGTCTTGGTCGATGATCGCTCATAGGATTGCATTCGTTCCGATGATCCATGCAACAGAATCCCCGTTGAAATTTTGCTTAAACAACTGGTTGTGCTTCATCCAAGGTCTTCGATATGCGCGAAAAAGTAGTGTTCGTGAACAGCTTGTAGAGTACACTCAGCGAGTATACTGGGCAGTAGTTACGAAGATCCATTCGGTCAACTTGGATATGGTGACCGTGCGCAAGGTCCTCCACTGGTCTGAGAAGGTAAAATGTCATGCCGTTTGCAGGAACTACACGTAATTTTGAGTCATCAGCTCTAAGGAAATTGGCGGTAGTGGTATCGGGTTTTGGTGCTGTGCCTTCCTTCATGCTTTCTATCGCAACTCGAACTTCGGAGGGTGCAATCCCGAGCGATTTTTCACCATCTGGGATTTCAGGGTCCGAAACGGAGATTGTGGAGCTTATAAAATCGGTATAGAACCTTTTCATTATCGATTTCATTTCATAGGGAGGTGTAGTGATAGTTCGTCCGTTCATCAGGGCGGATAGGGGAAACAGGGGAACGTTATAGCCACAAAGATCCCAACTGCACTTATTCAGATTTTGTAGTTTTTGAGCTGCTTCCAATAACTTTTTCTAAGTATACTGATGTAAATCCTCCTGCGAAGATCTTCTACAGCTTGCATTTATTATCAGCCGCGTTAGGCGTGTTTCAATATGATCAGGCTTCATTCTCCGTCCCTTTTGGAGCAGCTTCTTAGTAGTACTGGAAATCCGGTCTGAACTTCTTGTTTGAGGAAATGAGGCGAGTTCGGCGCAAGTTTTATGTTCTTCCACGTGCGGCTTGTAGTTCTCGGTCGGGTCTTCATTTGTCTGTCGGTTATACGAGGAGAGGACATTATTGGGAATATCATCGTCATAAACGACTTATTTCCTTTTTTTTGGATGATGACAGGGAGTCCTTTTCCAGTTTATGGCTTGATCGAATCTTGGCACAGAGGAGGCGTTGATCGGATCCAGTACAGTATCTAGGTACCATTGGGCTATCAGAGAAGCATCATTTTGCCTTCGTGGAAATATCATTGATTTCCGCATGAGTTGCACTACGAAGAGGCTCCTATTTACATCGGCGAATTTCTCCCGTCTCGAAAAACTGAATGAATTGCCCTGGAAGAGACACCTTGTAAACAGGAGTCGTACAAGACGGTTCCCATTCTCATTTCGTTCTCCGACAACAAATTTAGAGATGGACTTTTCTTCGTGGATCACTTTCTCCAAGTGGTTGTAGAAAGCATCCAGTTCACTCTCATTAGCTTTACAAGTTGGTGACTTATAGTTGATATTGCCAACTTTTTTGGCTCGCAGATTGGAAACAAAGAATGGCCAAACGTGACGATATAATTTCGTGTGAGGTGACTAGATGGGAAATATTATAGATGGATGTGCAACTAAGTCAACGCCAGCGACATTTCGTAACGGAATTTCACCTCCACGATTGGGAAGGATCTCATCGTCTAATTGGCGTAGCTCGATCTTCCTGCTTTTCGTCTCCTGTAGTACTATCATATGGGATTTGATGCTATTTGCAGCCTCAAGAAGGGAGTAAAGATCGACATATGAAGAGACTGTTCTGGCGTAAAAGGTACACACCACGAAGCAGCCTACACGGCATGTTGTCGACGTACTCGTTGTGTTCGTTTCCAGATGCGTCCTGTGCAACCCCAGATTTGATCGCCTCTTAGCGGTGGTCTCAGTCCCCGACTTCTTAGATGGGAACGCCTAATGTGCGGAGTACTAAGGCCGGAATTTTATTGACTTATTGTGATTCACTAAAGTTCCGAGGTCAGCTTTGTTGAAGCCTTCCTTAAGTCGTCATCACGTCAGACAGTTGCTGGCCTTTCTGGATCAAGGGGATGTTTGCACCATACGAATAGTTTGATACCAAGACGGTGGTTCTTGCCATTATTTTACTTTTAGCTGGATTTCCGGATGGAAACGTCACCGTTAGGGTAAAGCGCTGACTGAAAGGAAGCAAGGGCCTTAGTGGCGCATTGGGTAACAGGCGGCCAATCGGAAAGGGTAATCGCTGGTTCGAATCCTAATCGCGTCCTTTTCATATCCTTTTTATCCTTTTTATATCCATAATCCTTTTTCATATAGTCCAACATCATCATTGCTTCTTCACGGTTCTGCGTAATACTAGCGATAAGTTAATGTTTTGCGTTTCTAAGCGAAAAATGCTAGTTTATTCTAGTTAAGTAAAGCATTTCGCTTAGTATTCTCTCAGTTATGAAATCAAAAGCTCTTCAGGGTGCACCACGTCTAATATCCGATGCCTGGGAACCAATTCCACCGTCTGAAATTCGGACTGAACAGCATATGCTCAGCTATCTTTCAGCATTTTTGGGCCACTTTGGTCCACAACACACCGTAATCGACATTCCTCTAAGGCTTTTTTTGAAGTCGTTGTCCGGAAGCTGGCCCACTACCGGTCCGTTCCTAGCAGAGTGGGCTACTAAGTACGTATTATGCTGATTCATCGTACCAACAATTTAAAAATAACACATAAAATCACAGAAAATAGATTGCTTCTGTTAGCTGGTCAATTAAGGAGGACTAGTTGTGTTTATCGACCACTAAGTAATTTGTCATAATGGTTATAGCACCATTGATGGACGATATGAGTCATATTTATCTCGTATATCGCCGAAAATAACCTAACTTTTGAAAAACAGCTTATAATAAAGTGAAACAGTAGAATTTCGCAGATTTTATGAACAGGACACATAGATATAGGATGTAAAATAGTCTCGTCGCTGTTTGTAGAATCATTCACCTTTCGTAAAATCGATGTATTCAGAAGATCACATCAGTTCATCGTTATGTTTGAAGTGCTTTACCTTGTTTCGAGTATTCGACATCGTCGTATTCTAGTAGAAGCCGTGCAGGTGAGTGTAACCTCGACAAATCTCCACCTCACCATTTAACTCTGTAACCACTGTCTAAGAATTGCGCCAGATAAAACTATAGGAACAAGCACTTAGTTCATTTTCTGTTGGTAAGCTGCATTCTTTCACAGCATTGCCGATGCCACCTATGCGTATTGATCGCTGTTATGTTCAGGTAAACACGTTACTGAGCATACTTTTCTGGTCGTTTTAATTAATGTTTGAGTTTGTAAGTAATATAGTGCAGCATGAGATCCTCATTCGCCATTAACACATTGAAGATCCTTGATTTCAATTCATGCAAGGTGGAAAAAACCCTTCAGTTATTCAAAAGTCCGTACGACTACGAATGTGACCATAGTTATAGAATTGCTACTGGATTTCAGAAGAGTTCATTGAAGCCATGTCAACCTAGGTTTCACTTGGTTACTACAATTAGCCCGGAGCAATATTAAATACAGCATCGTCATCCTTTACCGTTCTTGTAGTGGCGCATATAGTGCAAGAAGGTGCCCTCAATACAGTGGATTGGACACTAGTTTCATCCACCATCCCCGATACACCATCATTCCCGAGTGGGCAAAATTGTACCGGACTTGCCGGGGATGGCAGGAACACTGAATGGTTAAATACATTGGTAGGCCACCCAAGTCGCTGTATAAACCAAACACATGCATTCAATCACCTCCATGATGCTATGAATCGATTCGAATGCACAGTGCGTACCTCAGGAATTAAGCAGTGTTTACCGCTTTTACAGAAAAATTCTCTTAGTCGTAAACCTACTCTAGCTTGAAGACAAAACTACGAAAAAAAAAACCACTTATCCTTTATCCTCCCGGAATATCCATCCAGAAGAACGAAACCTACATTTTCCAGCCTCTGTCTTCGCTGAAACTGAAGTTCGTAAATCCGGCAAGCCGCTGATAATGCGGGTTTATCAGCAATTTTAACTATCGTAAGAGTAATTTTAAAGTCCTTCACAACCCTTAGCGTAAAGAATTTTAGCTCATTTGGCGTAAAAATGAAGACCGAACTCGTATACGAGATTTTTAAAAGAAGATTTCTTGCAATCTGCAAATAAGTACAACTTTCAAGAAGGTCTTTTTGTTTGATTGTGTTGCTTAACTTCTAGTTCTTCTTAAGTGTTGACTTTTTTCCCGGATTAGGATATGGATGACTTCCAGTTGGTTTTCTGTGTATATCCCGATTTTTCTTCACCAATTGGAAATGTCACGAACAGCATTCATGAACACCATGGTGTTCTTCATTACTATTTGCTTTTGTGTTGTTGACTCTTTTGTAAAGAAAGACGTAGAATAAAAGTTTCGATCTCTAACGTGTTTCTTCAATTTGTGACGAACAGAATACAATGTAACCGTGAAATTTATTGCATTTGCTGAAAAAAAACGAAGAACATAAACAAACGCAATTTAAAACAGGCAAAATATACAGCCAACACATTATTATAACCAAGATCAGCGAGAAATAGACGATAAGTAGCGGAGGAAGTCCGCTAAGACATCGAATCATGTCGTCTCCATATCTGCTTCTCGAAGAAGTTCTTGCATCATCTGCTTGATTGGGTTTCCAGGTTCGACTTTCTGTACCAACATTTCAAGAACATCAGAACGGTCACTGAACACTTCTCTCGCCTACAACGATATTTATCTATAAAATTCATTGTAGCTGAAGAGAATTTCTTGAACTCTGACTGTAAACAGAAGTGTATAGCCGGTGTCACTTTAGTTAATCACCGATGATTCAAACAAACGCCACTAAAACCTATATTCGTGAAAAGCACGTAAAAAACTGTACAGAGCTTCAGCTTGATCAAGGTCTTTTCCATTAAGATCTTTGTAAAGAAGTCTTCACTATTTGATTGGTGGTTTTTTTGCTAGGCACTGACATCCAGCGAAGCTCAGTCGCAAAAATCTCTTGTCCACTGGTTAACCATAAAATGCTTTACCAGCCTACAAAGTTTTCGTTACCTTGATATACTTGATATACTGATATACTTGATAATTGAACGGCCCGTCCTCGCTACTTATGCCGACCCCAGCACAATCACCATTTTTCGGAGATCTGTTGGTTAAACTAATGTGGTTCCTCGCAATCCCGAGGTCAGCCTGGCCAAAGTGTGTACCAGGTCCTCACCACCACAGGCAGTCGCAGCCCTTGTGGATCAGAGAGAGATTTACCACCATGCGACTTTGATACCAAGACGGTGGTGGATCCTGGAATGTTTACTCTTAATTAGGCTTCCTGATGGAAACGCCGGACTTCTCAGCTCGGGAGACCCTCCCAGGAGGATGAATCCCTCCGCTGTACATCGCAGCCCGATACCCAGGAACACCTCCCAGCCACGATGAGGCACTAAACCGTTAGGAGGTTACCTTGATATATGCGCTGGAAAAAACTCTTCACTCGACTCATTCTCAGCTGGGTTGCCACAGAAGGATTAAGAACATTGAAAAAAAAGAAACAAAGCGACCAATCAGGACTTGAGAATAGTTCAGGATAATGGGGCATACCTGTACGGTAACAAAAATCGTTGAAGTATATAGAGAAAGAAAAGGTAAAGCATGATGGGCTCCTGTGTGACATCTCCTGGCTTACCGTACACCTCAGTAACATAGAAACTACATAAATAGAGTGTAAATACATTAAGAGCCATAGAAAATATTACTCTAGGAAAAAGCTAAAAGTACGGACGATGCAATCCGAGGGCTTGACCTATGCAGATGATAAGTAAACAGAAATTCTAGTACCTACTTCAAGATAAAAAAATACCAAGGAGGCAGAATAGGTGATGCATATTGACGAAAACCAGTGGACAAGGACCTTAGCGACTGGGTAAGGGTGTCAAGGGTGCAAGAAGATGACCACTTAGCAGATGGTGGCAGTTGGTCACGAAAGTCCATGGTAGACATGAATAATGGGTAGAATTAATCTTGCAACACAAGTACTGTTTAGGATAAGATGTATACCAAATTTTTTAATCCAGCACTTCTTGCCAGACGACGTAAGGAAGGAATCATTACGCGAAGAGCGACTTTAGCAGTACATAAACCTCGAAAAAAAGCGAAATGGTGGAGAAGAAAGAAATGGGGCAAGAATGGGGTCGCCACGAAAACAAAATGAAAAACTTGAGTGAATGAAAATGAAAGACTCACTGTGTCTGTATGTTCACTAAAGAATTTCATGCATAGCGCTAATAGTCTTTCACAAAAGTACACCGCCACTTCCGAATGTGAGATCGTCTGAAACCCAATTTTCAAATATCAATAAAGGTTGAGTAACCAGTACCAACTGACGTAGTGTAATAATGTGATTAATAGAATTAATATTGATTGCTCTCTGACTATACAAACCAACTCGTACACGTACCTTGGGAGATCAGTGAACATGGAGAACATTATGAAAGAAGGATTAGATAAAAGGAGAGAAGCATAGGTCGCATTCGAGACCCTCAAAGAACCCACCGGCGAACTAACGACCCAAAAATCCACGTCTTTTAGATTCAACATTCCTCCCGACACTCTGTTATGCAGCAGAGACGTGAGCTAATACTTCAAGCACTGGATCAGCAGCAGCACAGATTCAAGAAGACTGCGCACTAATTACAGAGCGCTTGAACGATGTCTTTCGAAATATAACCGGCATACACATTATCTAGCCGGACCGCGCATCTGACCTCCGTAACCTATCTCACCTTTGGGATCCAGGAGAATACACTTCGATAACGAAAACACGTAGGCTGGCTATACAATGAGAAGAGCTGACGGAAGATGGGCGAAAAGAACAGTACAGTGCACTCCACGAGGATGTAGGGGCCCTTTAGGACGACCACCTACACTTTGGGCAAACAAGTACGTAACGGAAGTCAATCAGGTGTATTCGTAGTTACAGTTGTTTTACAAATTACGGTATGAGGCTCCTACAAGCCACCATGCTCGCTTCAAACCACCACCATGGAAGTCGATGGCGAGGGTAAGAAACAACTGGAAAAAGTGCTAGTATCAGCACAACTCATGAAGATGGGTCGTGCAACTATCCAGGTGAGTAATCAATACTAAGGCATCCATAATAGCTCAACAATACTAAAACGTTGAGAGATCGCACAACTTTCCATGGGGTCTAAAATTGTCGCTACGCAGAACAATAGTTGAACCAAGACTTCCCAGTTGAGTTCCAACGACGCATTTTTGACCATTCTCCTTAAAAATCTGTGTCCCAATCCGTTCATGTAGGACTCAAAAACAGTAGAAATCTACCACGACTAATAATATATACAACAGAATGACCCAAACTAATGTATAAAAAAGCAACGGAAAGATTTCTATACTACAAAGAAGAAGACGAGGTCACCCGGATAATCCAACCCACCAACGCGTCTTGGACACAAGGAAGAAAAAATGAGTTGGTCCAAAATGTGACAGATAGCGTAAAACGTTCGTTGCATTAGTATTTTAACCAACGACCGAAGAATCTTCGGAACTGGTGAATGACACCCCAGTAATATAATAGTAATGGTCAGACATTAGATAAAATCAATAACCAACTTGGTTATAGGCAAGTCATAAAAACATACCTCAAAAAAAGAAAGAAACGCGTGAATGGCATTGCCGAGTACGCAACAATACGATGGTTCACGCATTAATGGCAAAAGTTTCAAGGTAGCATCGAGAACGAACGAAACAAATGGCACTATTTCCTGGAAACAAAACTCCAGAACATAACGCAGCTCCAGTATTCTCATGAAGAAACAACATTCGTACTTTTTAGAGAACCAAAAACCAAGCGAGGAGCAAACTACAACTGTTAAGTGACAATCGGACACCTCTTCGTTGTGTGGTTACAAACTTTTTCTTCTGAAGAAAAAAAAGGTCCTCTCATAACAACACGTCTTGGATCATTTATGACAAGTACATGTGAAGAGAGTAGAATGCTGACAATAGTCATTCTCTTTTTCTTCCCTTTTTCTCTTTTTTCTCTTTTTCTTGCCAGCCGATTTTTTTTCCCGCAGAGAAAACCAGTTGGAATACTTTTTATTGTTGCAGTGTCGGACGACACAAGCTATTTCTCTACATATTATAATTCACAGAAAACTTCGGATGAATTTGGTTCCCCGCCGTGATTACTAGCGTTTCCATGCAGCATATCATTGAAAACACAGATTCTCAACTCTGTCGTGTTCAAGTGAACCCTCTACAATTTACTTGGATACTTGGACGGTCCGTTTTCACGGCCTACGCGGACCCCAGCATATATGCCATTCGCTCCTTCCTCTCGTAATCGTAGTAATAGTGGTGGTCTTGTTTGAGTATGGCAGCGCGTCCGAGTCTCATACCGTGATCTGTAAAACGACTGCATCTGCGAGTATAGCTGATTGACTTTGTTAACGAACACGTCCGCCCAACGTGTAGGTGGTCGTTCTAAGGAACGTTCGCATTCTGTTGGAATCTATTCTACTTCTTCTATTCTACTGTTCTTTTCGCCTATTTGTGGTCTGCTCTTCTTATTATGTGACCGGTCCACGAGAATATACATCTATAGCGAAACATAGATATAGTGACACATCTGTTTCGCTATATGTATATCCTCCTGGATCTCGAAGATGTGAGAGATTTCGAACGTCAGAGCTTCGCATTCCGACTAGATATTGAGAGTGCCGGTTATATTTCAGAAAACATCGCTCAAGCGCTCTGTGCGTAGTGTGAAGCATTCTTGACGTAGCTGAAGTATCAACCCACGTCTCTGCAACATAACAGAGCGCTGGGAGGACCGTAGAATGGAAGGGATGAGCACGGATTCTCGAGTCCTTCAGTTGGTCGGTGGCTTCTTTGAGAGGCCCGAATGCGGCCCAATCTGCTCCCTTCTTTTATTTAGTTCCTCCTTCATGTTGTTTTCAATGTTTTTTCAATGTGTTTTCAATTTATCACCCAATGTATATGTACGAGGTGGTCCCTGCAATGAAAGAGCCATCCAATTCAATTTTTTTGCCTTCGCACCATGGGTTTTCCATGAACTGGGTCTTCTTTCAATTACGCGAAGTCCGATCTTTTTCCCCGATTCGTTGAGCTCGTTGATCATCACCTCTGCTTCGCTAGTACTTCTTGAGATGATAACGTCGTCAGCAAAACAAAGGTTTGATAGGAATTTTCCATCAATACGTATGCCTTTCTCATCCCAAACGAGTGACTTCATTATCCACTGCAGTGTGGCACTGAACGGCTTTGGCGATACTGTGTCCCGCACTTCGAATCAGTTTTCCTATGGATATGGTAAGAGGTCAATGGAAGAGTTGTATTTTTGCAGTGCAGTTCCGACAACAGTAGGCCAGAGTTCTTATGTAAGACGGGTTTACTCCTTGGTCGACGAGTGCTGATAGGACTACATTCGTTTCAACAATGTCAAACGCTTTTTCATAGTCGACAAAGGCTAGGGCTAGAGGCAAGTGGTATTCCCGACAACCTTCGATGACCCTGAACACGGTTTGGACGTGGTCCATGCAGCAAAATCCTTTTCGAAATCCTGCTTGCTCGACTGATTGCGTCTCATCCAATGTCCTTGATATGCGCGAGAGAATAATCTTAGTGAAGAGCTTGTAGAGTACACTTAACAAGGATATGTGACGATAGTTACGAAGATCCCTTCGGTCTCCTTTCTTGGATAGGATCACCATGCGCGACGTCCTCCACTGGTCCGGGATATTTTTTTGAAGGTAACCTGTCATATAATCTGCGAGAAGTACACGTAAATCGTGGCCTCTAGCTCTAAGGAAATCGGCAGTAATATTATCGGGTCCTGGAGCTGTGCCTCTTTTCATGCTTTCTATCCCAACTCGAACCTCCGACGGAAGAATTCCAGGTGGTTTTCTACAGCAGGGATATTAGAGCGGGACCCGCACGTAACATCACAGCTCTGAGGAAGGCGAAGTCGCCGAAACGTCAGCCATCGATCAATAACATCAAAAACAACGACAACGACAACGAAGATCTGTACCAACCTCGCGTCAGCTTAAGAAGATCAGTTTATAAGATCACATAAATAAATATATCAACTATCTAAGCCGAGGTTTATAGAAAGTCAGTCTTTCGAATCTCATCTTCGTTCATCAGGGCCGACAGTAGAACACTATAATCACACAAGTCCCGACGGCATTGTTTCAAACTGCTTCTTTTCTCTGCTGCTTCCAGTATTTTCTTCTGCTAATACCGTTGTAGATCTTCCTGCAAGGCTCTTCTGCAGCTGGAATTTATTACTAGCCATGTTAAACGTGTTGCAGTAGGATCAAGCTTCAGTTTCCTTCTCCTTTCCAGCAACTCCTTAGTGCGACCCGATCTTCTTGCCTGAGGAACTGAGGCGAATTCGGCACAGCTTTTCAGTCCTTCGACAAGCAACTCGTAGTCTTCGGTCAAGTTTTCTTTAATCTGCCAGTCAAGTTTTGATAGGATTTCGTCTAGAACGCTCTCGTCATATACAGCTTGACTTTTTCCTCGTGGTCGATAAAGAGAGTTCTTTTCCAGCTTGCGGCTGAACCGACTCTTCGCGCGAAGAAGGCGGTGATCGGAACCAGCACAGAATGACGGGACCACCGATGTGTCAAGTAGGCACCAACTTCTGTTTGTCAGAATATGGTCGATCTCCGCATGAGTCATGCCGTTAGGAGACTCCCATGACCAGCGGCGGCTTTCTTTCTTCTGGAAAAACGAGTTTCGATGGAAGAGACGTGTTACTGACAAAAGTCCTGCGAGACGGTTCCCATTCTCATTTCTTTCTCTTGATCCAAAATTTCCGATCCTGTGTTCGCTGTCGTTGGCCTTTCCTATTCTGGCGTTGAAGCCTCCGACAACAAATTTATGATATGCTTCATCACTGCGAATTACTTCCTCCAACCGATAGTAGAACGCATTTAATTCGTACTCATCAGCTGTGTCAGTCGGTGAGTAGCAGTTGATGATAGTGATCTTCTTATGATGCGATGGTTTAAGACGGAGGACGGCTATGCGACGGGAAAGAATCACGTATGAGTCAACGAAATGGACAATGGACGGGTGGTCGACAAATCCTACGCCACCGACATTTCGTGACGGGGCCTTTTCTCCACAGTCGGTCTTCTTGATTTTTTTCTTGTTATGCGAACACATGAAATTTAGTGCGATCTGCAACTACAAGAAGGGCGTGAAGATCGGCGTCTTTGGAGAGTATTCTGGCATTATACGTGCATAGTAAGAAACAATCTCCATGGCGTGTCATGCGTGTGTTCGTCAGATCCGGTTCCAATGACGTCCTGCGTAACCCGAAATTTTCTGGCCTCTCACCGGTCGTCTCACCGTCCGATGTCATGACGGGATCACCCAGTGTGCGGGGCACTGAGGCTGACCTATTGCTGGTCGTGCAACATGGTCCTCCCTGGAGTTTTGACGTAACCTTACAGGGGCGTATCCAGGTCCTCACCACGATGCGGATCAAAGGAAAGCGTTCTCGACCTCAAACTTGGGTAATCAAACTTCCACAATTTATAGTTCCCCCAGTTAGTGCCTCTTACATATTTGTAACCATTAGAATCTGCAGCCAGCACAATTTACACCTTTTGTTGATACTACCTCCCAACGGTAAACCGCCTCATCGTGACCACGAGGTGTTCCTGGGTGTCGGACTGCGATTTACGGCGGGGAATTCCTCCCCTGGCATAGTCTCCCAAGTTAAGAAGGAGTCCGGCGTTTCCCATCAGAAAACCTAATTAAGAGTAAACCAATACCAGAATCCACCACCGTCCTGGCATCATAGTCGCATGGTGGCAAACTTCCCTCTGATCCACAAGGGCTGCGACTACCTATGATGGTGAAGACCTGGGACACACTTTGGCCAGACTGACCTCGAGATTCCAGAGAACCACGATGGCTTAACCAGCAGATCTGCGAAAAATGGTGATTGTGCTGGGGCCGGCAGAACCAGTGAGGACGGGCCGTTCAAGTATCAAGTATCAAGTAGGTTGATACTACTGGAATCACCCAAACACAAATATCTGTATTGAATTAATCTAGTGTTGATCTATTTGGTAAGCATGTTAACAGTTATGAAGTCATCACACCTTATCAGTTTCTTATGAAAGCTAACACAACATTTTTCTTCCTGGAATCATTTCCAGGAAATGGTTAATCGCTGGTATAGCCTCTCTACATACTAGAATAAAACATAAACAAACCTGGGTTCTAAACCTAGATATATTTTGTAAAACCCATTTTGTTCACTACAGTTCGTAATGTTGGTCAGATGGAAATCAGTCCAATATTTGCAAAATTCACTTGTCCTTTCGGACCCAGTTTGGGATGCAACATTCGTAAACCTGACTGCAACTCTAGCAATCTCTCAAGTACATGCAGATTAACGCTTCCTTTTTGAAGCCACGGAGCCATGGATTTTTCCGACCCTTTTCCAATCAGACTGCAGATACCAGTGATTGATAGTTCAACAAAAAATTTTTTCTCCTCCTCCTACGCATACACGAGTCGTCAACCATATGCGATTCTGAGCGACTCTTCACCCTCGTTGGAAAACATGTGAATAAAGCGGCTCTGAAGAAGGCGATTCTGTCCAAACGTCAGCTACGGTTGTGTTGTATGTGTGTTACTGTATGGAAGTAAACGTATACTGTTTAACAATTTCGCGATTGCTGAGAGAAAACGACAGATTTATAATCCATTGGCGAGGTTAACAGAAAGTCGATTTTAGGAACTATTACGAGATTGTACTAAGTTCATAACGGTCAATCTGCCGCATGACCCTCGCATGAATTTAAATCAACTCATACCTTCCACTATATATGTCAATTGAAAAACATAGTAAGACAACTAGACCTTTTTTAATGTCGACGGCATCCTTGTGAGTAGGGGTATTTGTTGCGTCATCGTACCAAAATTTCTGAAAAAAAAAACAGTTGCAATTCAGACATTATGCTGATAAAAAACATCAAAAAATTTAATTAAGTTGATATTTCATCAAACGATGTCAAGCATTTAATTAGTCAGACACTATGTCAGCTATTCCAAGTGTTATTCACCTAACCATCGCTTTCGGATACATTTCCACCATTTGTACAAGTGTTCTCACTGCGCCATATGCATCAGAATATGTCGGATTGACTGCCTGTGCCACAAGCGTCGTCACTAGACCATCTGTGTCTCGTTGGCGCCACCGGATTCCTTGAATTCTAGTCCGATTTGCCATTGGATCCACGAATAAGCCTCAAAAACCAACGAATAAAAACTAGAAGATTGATGACGGAAATCCAGAAATATTACTTAACACATTTAAGAAACTGCGCGTTCTCAAATTTCACACTTCCTTAACTGAACTCTTAAACTTCTCGTCTTCACAAAGGAGGGGGTGCGGGAATAAACACAATTTCCATTTTTGCTGGTTGGGTAAAATTCTCCTATAATCTCAAAAGTCATGCTAAGACTACTACAAGCTGTCACCACTTGCCATCCATCTAGTGGCACCTCAAGAAATTTACCTCTTAACCACTGCCAAAGTTTGATATCGACAAAAAGCACAAAAACTAAAGGCCCATTTTCTATTTCACAAAAGTGTGATGCCGTTCTTCTCTCAGGTAAGCTGACTTCACTAAGTAGCCTGATGCGTTTAACGAAAAGAAGGAACTCGAGGAAAGAAATCGCTATGTGGACTCCAGAAAATCGTAACTCCATAGCGATAAAATAATCAATCTTGTACAATGTGGGCAAATATCGTAATGAATCTAGAATGTAGAACCTACTGATTTCTTTGTCAACCATTAAATTTCACTACGAGCTGAGATGTCTCTCTAAATTTGAAAGGTGCAGTTATTCACAGGAGCGCATGAGTTTAAATCAACTCATATGTGTTATTAAATTAGGTTACACAATATTATAACCTAGCAGCAGATCCTATATTCTGTCACAAAGATGCTATTTTGAAAAACTTGCATGGATATTTGAGCTGTATATCATCGAGCAAATTCTGCGCGTGCTTCCGTTGATTGGCTGGTAAATCAGACCGGGTGAAAGTTACTATCACTTCAGATATTGGCACCGTAATTTCCACATTGGTGAGGTCAACCTTCAAAATGGATTAAATGTGTGAAATATATCAAAGGCGGAATACAAACAGCTTTCAATAGTAAGCAATTGTTAAAAGATAGAGGCAGATAAGGAGAGAGAGGGACACGGAGATAAAGCGAATGAACCCAAATAAATATGACCATTGTGTCAAGTGTTGCTGGCACAGCTTAGTACAGTTTCAGCGGAGTCTTGCAATAACTAGCAACTAGTTTCAGTAATAACATTTTCTAATGTATAACACCTGAAGAACGTAGTCAGTTCTAAAATGACGTCTGCTCTTCTTCCATGACCAACGCATATTTTCCTTACGCCGAATCGTTAACCAATTCAAAAGCTTCGTGAAAAATGTCAAAGAATATAAAAATCTAAATAATGTTTATGGTTTTCATGAACTTGAGCTTTCGCATGCTATGCAGTGATGGACTTCCCATTATTCTATTAGCTGACTACGCGGTAGTGACTCCTACTAATAATGAAGAAAATAAAATTCAAGGAAAAAATGTTACCCGTGGAACAGTCGCTAAAATCACTAACCCAAAGACTATTCATCGTTCTCTTCAGATGAAAAGAGGGGAAGAAAATTCGGAAAAAAAACGAAAACGAAACCTTACCCAGATGTTCTTAATTCCAAACGCTTAATTACAAAAGAAAAACGCACCAGGTGATCAATAAGATCGACTGCAGTTTTTATGCGTTCCGGATTGCGGACGACCATGTCCACCAAATACTGGGCCAGACAGCTCCACTGCTGGACAGTCCATACACGGCAAAATTCGCGAATTGAATTCAGCATAAAGAATGTGCATACTATTTGTGAATTGAATCTATAAGAACATAGGTAGGGAGAAAATATATTGTAACACTTCAGTCGGATTCACCTCGGATTAAATGAGGAAAGTAATTTATTGAACACAATCTCAATCGTCTTTAACGGACATCGTAGTGGCATCTGTGCTACCAGCTCATCTATTCCAGGATCACCAAAAATTACCAACATCTAAAAGCAGCCATAGCTCCAGGCAAACATCCATCTCACATAAAATATAAAGCATACATATGAAACATTTTGGGAACATTTAGGCATTATCAGCAAAAACTTTGCATTTGATAGCATCAAAAACTATATTTGCTTCAACAATAAATTAAATAACACCTCGACAAAACATGAACGTAACCATATCTTATTACCACATCTTCTGAAACAAGTCTCAACCTCAGATAAAGTAGATAAAACTGCTAACAATTTAACTATCAGAAGTCACAACCTGCAAATCTAGCTCTGCGGGATCGGATATTGCCGAGAAGATCTCCTCACGCCGCTGCAGAAACCTACTGAGCAGCCTATAAAGGTCGCATGCAAGCGATTAATTGCTGCTTCTAGATCCGTAAACAAGAAAGCCGAATGTAGTTCGGAAACTTACAAAGCTCGGCTGTAACCAGGTGGTAGCACTCTATTATGGAGCGCTCGCAACATTTCCTCCTCAGTTAACTCCTAGGAATCAATTCTTCGAAAATTTAGTTACAACACCAACAAACTGTACAAATATTACGGATTACTAACCTATAACTGCTACTGATCTATACTTCAAACTAAGACCAACCTTCATTTTCTGATTCACGGGTTGAGGTGCATTGGGTACATATTGCCGCAAATGACCTTCAATCGCCGAAGATGTGGCGGCACTTTTAAGCACTTTTGCAGAAAACGTGGATAACCGGCTTTTCACAGCAGGAAACTTAAAAGATCTAAGTGGAATAAAAATATGTCACGTGAAAATCATTTTCCTAATAAGTATGTGCTATGTGGAAATTTCTGGAAAACCTACTATCAGAGATGAGTGAAAAGAACTCTAAGAAAAACCTTCTTCGCACATGGTCCTAATACAGCAAAAATTAAATTAAACGCATCACGGTCGCCAAGAAAGAATTTCAGATTTCCTTCTAAATGTTCTACCACAGCCATAGCGACATCTTCAGCTGCTTGTGTATCACGCCAAATATCCCAGTCGAGCACGAATGGAGCACCTGATATCTGCAATGCTGAAAAACTTAATATCTCGTTATAGATAAAGTCGTATTTCTCTACTATAAGTGTTTCTAAACTATTTAGACCTAAAAGTTGTCAATTTTTTCCCACAGATACATTACACACACCGTAGCTGCTTTCAAATAATGGAGCATTTCAACTCGCGTCATTGGTTTCGTTGGAGTTCTCTCAGCGATAACAGTGGGTTTTGTAGGTGAAGTATGGAAAGCGCTGATTTCCATTTTCTCTTCATTACATCTTTGGATATCATCGAGAAGTGATATTACCTATAAGGAAACATTAACGAAGCAAAAATGCAAGATATGCTAAACGTTTTTATATAAACGCTGGCTTAAGCGTATACTATTCAATATATTACAGTACATCTTCAGGATTATCAAATCGTAAATTTACTTCAACGGGACGTGTAACTTCCAAAGAAAATTGTCCACTGAGTTTAAGATTGCTATTATCCAGAATGAATTTAATTTTTCAGGAATTTAGACCCGATTCACATGCAAAATAGCTTAAACCTCCGTTTAGGATCGGTTACACTGTGATATATTGAAACACACGACATGTTCTTTGAATAGAAAGCGAATACCACATGAAAGCACAAGGAGGATCACGTACTAAAGCGAACCTGTTGTGCATGTTTGATGCCATTAATACTGTGTATGTTTAGCATTATTCTAGCCGTCTTATCCAGTGACATAACGTCACTTTTGCGGAGTTCACGATTTCCGCACGCAATTTCTAGTAGACGAGAAGCATGCTCTGGTCGTATAGCACTCAACTCACACGCGACTTTTAATGCCGACTGCGCATCCAGATCTCCCATCGCAATCTGTTAATACAAACTCTGAACATTCGACAATCTTACGACATATTAAGACTTAATAAACAAATGCTTCCATCTGTATAGATTTCTAAAATATGTTCAACAGAAAGAGTTTTGAATAACGAACCTTTACAATTTTCTCATTATCGAACTCAAGCATAAAAGCTCTTAATTTAGGAGTTAGCAGATCAATCTCGCTACCATCGCATAACACTTTAGGCATTTTGTGCTTATCTGACAACCACACCTTCAACGAAATTCATGAAATCCATTGAACTAGAATCTTAAATCAAACATGACAGTAACCGACAAAAATCACATGACATTTCCGAAAAATGTTTGTCTTCAGCCGGAACTAGATGGAACAAAAACGAAGCGATCCTATTCTGTGAAAATAATTTTGTAAACCATTGTCTAACACAACCTCAGCAAGTGTTTTGTATGATCTTGTTTGATTTCCCGACGCATAACAGAGCAACTTTAATAATGCTTCCACGGCATCCGCCGTCATTAGCATCTGCGCCTAAAAATCGCTCAAAAACTTCATCCGAAAACATCACAAGTAACAAAAAGTTTGACTTTTACTCTGACACACCTTTTTAGTAGGTATTGTAACAAGATATTTCAAAACTGGCTTTTGTCCGCAATCTCGAGAAAAATTCATGGGCCAAACATCAGGTGCAACAGCACAGGTCTCCATATAACGCAAAAACACGTCCAGCAGTGGCGATGTTTTCATTTCGTTGATCTTACCAAATTTTTCCACCAAGGCAGGAAAAAGCACGGATAACTGCAATTATAACAATACACAAGTTTCACGATGCAGAAAAACTAATCAAAAATACATACGATGTGCGCTATTGCCAAATATACATACACATATATGTATATACACGTACATATATATATATACATATATATATATATACATATATATATATATAGACGTACAAGGGTGCCATAACAGAATAGTATCACTGGCCGAATTTAGTGGCAACTTTTCATCTACATAAAGAGATCAGATTTCGCCAGTAAGAAACAAACAATTTATTTACTACTTTTATTTACTACTTATAGGACCATACCTGATGCATATTATCCACGTCCATTTGGTCTCGAATCGCTGTTAGTAAACAATTAAGTTGTTCGCCTTCAGAATCGAGTGCAGCCCTAGCCAGGTGAGTTACCAAAGACGACGCTATTTTCGGGTAAAACGATGTTTGCCGTAATCCCTCCATCCATACACCTTCTGCACCTTGATTCGAGTCCATAACTTCGTCTGGATTCTGGAGAACCATAGCTTTGGCAATATTCTCAAAGATAAACTTTCAAAACCATTCCAACCCATTTTTTAAAGATTTTATTGCAATATGCACTAACTGTAATGTATACGTGCCCGAAAACAATTTAGAAGTGGCAGTGGAGGCAGTGGTAATGATGCCGACCATCTTAAGCACATGCTAATTCGACCGCTTCCCGCATCACCAAATCTCTTACCCAAACGAGGTGGGAAATTGGGTTTAAGCGGGGAAAAAATTCACTCTCTGCAGTATAGCCGCTATACCTGGACTTTAAGAAGAATCAACACGACTAGTTATCAACAATATTCATGAGAAAAGGAAAATCCTCAACTAGCGGAAGAACCTATGTGTGAACAAAATTTGAAAGACGTTCGTGGATCGTAGATCGTGGATGGGAAAAAACGAATAAAATGCATGAAATGCTGGGATTGTGTCGGAGCACGTAGATGTGAAAGATGGGTCGCGTAACTATATATGCATGTTTATATATATATATATATATATATATATATATATATATATATATAAACATGTATATATGTAGTTACATATAAATATGCATATATATGCAAATATATATATATATATGACGTGGTATCCTAGCGATGTACCGACCCAGTGCTTCTATCCTTCCAGACAAGTCTGGTACCAATTTGGCGATTCCGGAAAAATGGAGGGCTTGGTGGGTCTGAGGCGCGGGGATCGATCCCATATGTATTGCAGTGTGCCTCTGACCACTGCGCTACACGCTCCCTATATATAGTATATATATTGCATATATATACCTCATCATAATGAATTCCATCAAATTAAATAATAATTACTAAAATCCACACATCCTTATTAACAATATATAAGTTTGCTCGTATTTTTCAAACGAAATTATTGATTCTGGACTCTAAGAATTATCTCTTTTTCTGGTTGTTTTCTGCAAGACTGGCACATCGGGCAGTAAAAACCATACGAAGTTGGATTTTTTGTGTCATGTCATTATGGTGTTCTCAGTCGACACCTATTTGAGCACTCGTCACGTTTGAGTTGAAGTCATTTCAACGTAACACTATTTTTTCAAGACTTATTTCTATTTTTCCTTATTTTTTCACGGCTCGACATCAAATGTTGTGCAGATCCCAGCACTTCTGCATTCGATTCGCTTCTTCGCATCCATCACCCAAGAAGGTGATTGTATTCGGTGTGGGTTCGGCCCAAATGGTTTTTGGTCATCTTTATTGGATTTTGGTCCAATCGCTTCTCCTTTGAATCCTGGTGTAACCATACTAGGACATAAGCAGTTTTTCATCACAGGTACTCGCCAATTTTTATAGATTGGAGGTACTTACTAGAACTTTCAGAATGCGTTAATAGTTTGCCCACTAAGAAAGAATGTGAAGCTTGGCGAAGCAGGATCGAACCAAGGGCTTGTACCTTCTGAATGGCGTCACATCCACTTCGCTACCAATCTTACTTCCCCATTTTTTTAAATGACAGTCAAATAAGTTAAAAGTGGAAAAGACAGCATTTTCGATAACAATACCATTTTACCATTTTCAAAGCCTTTTCCCTAATATTCTTCAAACAATTCCTAGAAATTTCAAATCGGAAAGCTCTGGGCAAAAATGGCCAACAAAATTGGTAGTAAAAATAAAAAAAAAATAACAAACTGGAAAACGTGAGACACTCCCGATATTAGCTTTCAGAATTCCTCGAACGCCCGAGGTAAAAAAGAAAGCTTTATGAATAACCAAAATTAGTTCAAGTATTTTTTTTAGTTTGAAGGGAAAAACAATAAATTAAAATAAAATTATGTGTGACTTCCACATATTCAACATTTTGGACCCGCTTTTGTTCCAAATAAAACTAAAAATTTCGGGAGAAAATACCATACCGTAAACAAATTAGTTAATACTAGTTTTGCTCCCAGACGTTCCCGAACGCTGAATGCCGTGCGTCGATCGAGAAGGAACAACACTGCGTTGATGCAGTCATCTTGCACAGCATCATTAGCAAAAGCAGCACGTACACGAGAAACTATCTGAAAGATTCATGCCATCAAAAAAGAAAAACAGAACTAAAGGAGCAAAAACAACGAATTCAAAATTGACTGACTGATCATGGAACAACATTTAGACCCACTATTTAAGCTAACAACAAGCTGGACAACAATTTTGATTCAATTTCTCAGTGAAATAAACATGTTGCAGGCTTAAGACACAACAGCAGTGATAGGTGAGAGCAATTTAACAAATTCACAAAGAACTGATATTTTGATAGCGGGTGATAATTTCTCAATACTGGACGAGCTGAGAACTGAATAGAATATTCGTTCAATCTAAAAACTCTTTAAGACCGACAATTTCAGAAAAATAAAAACTAAGATGAAATATTTAAAATCTCCACGCAAACGTAGTAGCCGCTAAGTCAACGATACATTAAGAAAACTATCAACAACTGATGAACGGTATCTTGCTTGCTCAGTTACTTCATTTTGGTTTTCGAAACACCATAGAAAGAAGTGAGAAGAAATTTGCTTTTATGTTCAATATAAAATCTCAACATATTTCACATAAGCTCAGATATTTTGGCTTAAACTTTGATATGACTCTGTCTGAGGTCACGCCGTTACATGTGAGTAAAAAATCTGCTACCAAACTAAATAAATCGGTGCAGTAAATAATACATTGCAGACGATATCAGCTATAAGTGACTCATCCCACTCAGGGCAAACTGACCGAAATGGGGCGTATACAATTCATTTCCCTCGGTGTGAATTATAGAGCTTTTTGCAACATTTTTTGCGCTCACAGCTTCGATGGCTTATCTCACATTGTAGCGGGCGTCTTCCGAGAAGATCTGTACTTTGTACTAAATAATTTGCAAGAAACTTTTTTCGATGACGACTTTATTTATCCAATCTAAACACTGCGGCTGGTACTAGCATATCTGCAGTAATTACACTCTGAAGTTCGGAAAATACGGACATTATATCGTGATGATAAGTAGTAAGGAGACTACCGTGGAGTTCTTGTAGTATGTGGGACAACTAAGTCTACACATACTGCGCATTCATCAATGTGTTTTCACAAAGTGTGCCGTTGCAAACACAGCGTAATGTCAGCTCTTATTCATCTAACATTTTAGTGACGTTGTAAGCCCTGCGCTCTAAAGCACTTAATTTACAACTTTTACAATACACACTTTTCATGTGGCATTTTATAGGCGATCACAAGAATTATAATCAACGGATATTGCAGCACATCTGGCATCACATCTGAACAAATTCTTCTGTCAGAAAACACGTCTTCACCTCCTCGATACCCACCTACTATTTTCAACGTCATGGCTCTTCGTGTGCTGTCACACTTTTCTGCCCATATGAATTAAACTCGGAAAGATTCGAACTTTTAACTAAAACATTTGTAATTTCTCAAAATCGATCCCTGATGTCATCATTGTCTTCTACGTGAGATGTACTGGCGTAATACCACTTTCCCCTCAAGAGAGTTGACGCAAAGGTCGTCGACAAGCCTGGCAACTTCATAAAATTTGTTCAACCAGCACACTGATCTTGTATAGCTTGCTTCTTTCATGATTTCAAGCATTACACGACAAATGCTAGCAACCCAACAGCTTTGTCCATGAGAACCAAGAAATCGACAAGTATCTCGATCTTTTCAACGGTTGTGGGTTCTTGTTCCTTTACAATCAAAATGACTAAATAGTATAGTCATAGCACAGAATGGATAGAAATCGACATGTTGCTAAACGATTGTCAAAACTTGACAGCAGTGTCTTTGAGTGGTTGGATGGAAGGGAGATTCGCCATCAGATAGAGCAGATGGAAGTGTTCGAAAAACATGGAACAATAGGACAACACGTATAAAGTGTTAAAGGACAAGTATAGCATAGTGGGTGTGTATCAACGAAATTTTCAACTGTCCCGAAGTTCTATCACAGGTAACAAATACCCTGCCACAAAAAAATGTAGAAGGAAGTAGGTAAAAAGTTAACATTGCAACTTTAACTACAGCCTCAGCCTAACTGGGTTCATTGCTGTTGGCTCTCACAACCTATTTTTTTCTTGCCAGTATCTAGTGGGCCCTCCTCCGACACACTGGAAATTCTTTGCCAATGAATGGAATAACAAGTCAAGTTTACACTCTGTGATCATTCGAAAATAAAGCTTAATTCGTCCGCCTCCAAAAACCTAACTTTTGTGCAATAGTGCATTGTTAGCTCATTGTCAGTCGCTATGCTGATCTAAATTCATTGTATGAGATTGCATGGTATTCAAAAAATTTTTAAAAAGCGCAAAAATATACCTAGTCTCATCTTAAGAAATCTTACCACCAGCTGACAACAACAGACAGTAGGTGAGTTTTTGCTCGTTTTAGATCAGAAAGGGTGCGTGTGGCGCAATGGTTGGAGGCACCACCGCGACAACCACGTGGAATCGAACCCCACGCCCATGGCCCACCAAGCCTTCCATCCTTCCGCGGTCGGCAAATTGGTACCAGACTTGTCTGGGAGGATAGCAACACTGGTTCGATACATCGGTAGTCCATCGGGAGTCGTTGTAAAGGCCAGATGTGCATTCAATCACCTCCAACGATACTTAATGAAGTCGAATGCATGGCGCATCTCTCAGGGATTGATCAACGCCGAGAGCTTTAGTTTTATTTTTATAGATCAGATTTCGACATGTTTCAAAAGCATAGAAAAATGTATGTAGAAGAAGAGAACAGACAAGTAATATATGAAGAGAACAAAAATTACCAATACGAACTCGAAAAAAATTGTTAAACGAAAACTACACCAAAAAGCGAGATAATTTTCTGGGAAGAGAATAGTGAGAAGTGATAGCGAGCACTTTGACCAGTATGACCGTTATATTACCTATCGTGAGATTGGACAATAACTAGGCATCGTTTCTATGGAATTAATGCATAAGTACAACAAACACCTACCGTGTGAACAACGTTGGCGTCGTCGGTTTTAGCGACTTTTCGACGTTGTAGGTCGTACTGAAGAAATTGACAGAGGGTTGACACCGGCATCGCCTCTATCGCCGACGCATTCATTGTAAACAGCTCCTTTAAACAAATACAAAGCGACTCATTAATTTAATGAACTAATTCGTCATTGATTTCTTTAGGGAACAGAATGATATTTCGGAAGGAAATCAAACACTTGCGACGTATTGTGCATTTTCCTTAAAATCTTATAACACTTGACTAATAGCACTTGTAGTCTCTTCACCTTGCACGACCACGCGCACTGGTTTCAACATTTACGTTGCTGAAATTTTCGGGCCCTACATCCCGACTTCAAAGCGCAAGGCTTTTTCTTGGCTCATTTGGTCATATGCTTATCGAACAGTGATTTGGCACTGGGCCTAATTCAAGCATATGCGTTAGAAAAATCGTTTTGGAAGGGAATCGGTGGATACAGAAAACATGAAAAAAACAACGTAAAACACTTATTAAAAAACATCACTTGAGAAAAACACTTCATACACTTTATCTATCATATAATACCACGATAAAAAGCTGATAAGCTCGTGGTTAGATAATGGACGAATTTAGAAGACCATATTGGATATGCAAAAATTACACAGAGAGACGAATAATATATGATGGAACCGAATAATACTACTTCAAGAAACGATGCGCTGTATCTCTTACGCGGGATAACGGACCATACGTCTTAATTTCAATGCGTATTTCAATTTCTCACCAATGATACCCGAGCCGATGGATCCGGAACGTGAAAATGGCGACTGTCGTGAAAAGGTCGAGGAACTCAATCGTGATGATAAAAGATAAAAACAGTCCCTGTGACGCACCAGAGCTCTCCAATGTCTAATGGGCTTCGCTTGTTTAAAGTCACACAGAGTACCATACTTGTCGTGTAAGGTCACATATTTCATTCTTTTCGTTGAAATTGTATCCCGATTAGAACAGAAGACTCTGTCACTGCGTAGGCCTACTATTTGCTGTTTCCAGAGAGAAATGTCGATCTTCGTCTTAGTTTGGGTAACGCTCTAGAAAGAATGACTGGTCGTTGTAGTTCACAGTTTGCTATAAAGAATCACGACTTTGTAAAAATGAGGAGTTGTTACACATCCATGGACCAAAGTACAATTATAAGCACAGTTGTCTATCATAATTTCTTAACGAGTAACAGGCAACACCACTTCTGGAATCGAGAGTTTCGATGCCGTATTGTGGTTGATGCTCCAAATTATTATCCGTTAAGTAATTTCTTAGTGTAAAAATAAGTTGGAAGGGATAAGAAGCCAATTTCAAAAAACACACAACAAGCGTCTGACATTACTCGCGGAACTGTCTTCATCACCACTGAACTGCCACTGCCATATGCAAGTTTTTCACGCTGCTCCAAATGATACTTGCAAAATCTTGAAGGAGAGTAGCGTAAGTGACAATTCTTTGCGCAGATGTCCTTTTAGCATGAACGAAGAAGCAATGATTCGGTAACACTAATATGGCTTGTTTTAACACAGTTGCTAAATAGTTCTCCATATTCCTGTTGAGCAATAGAAAGTCGGTTGTGGGGAATACAGTTTCTAAACTTACGTTTTGTTAACGTTTTAATAACCAGACCTGTTTAGATGTTTATCAATGATCACTTGGATGGCTATAAAACGCTGGCATATTGTAGTATAAAAACTAACTCTAAACGGAGAATATTCTATACGTTCTTGCACAATTTTAATCCCTAATAATTGTTAGGAAGAACAGCGACCTCAGCTAGCTGCTTCGCAGTTGGCCGGAAAGCGCTCTATAATGTTTTGTATGCCATTAGGTGCATATTTGTCCAAAATAATGGTTGACAAACGCTCTGTAATTCCCTTGTGACATCTGTACGCTTGCTTATAAGAAAAAGCCACAGTAAAAGAGTCACGCCCACACCAGTACCAACCATTTTCGTTCGGCATCAAGAAGTCACAAACCGTCATTCATACTAACCTGTTCTACTGCTATCAGTTGCTTCTAACCATCCTTAGTTCGGTTGTATTTCTGTACGTCACATGTTTCTCATACTACTCCTATAGTCCATTATAGAAGTTACCTACTTACTGTCAGTGTAACTTCTTTCTCTTAATCTTTAGGCACTCCTTCCGTTATCGCGTCTTCTTTCTATTTTATATTTTTTTTTCGCTCCCAGCGGTTTACCTCCTCTTTATGACTGGGAGGTGCCCTGGGTGTCGGACTTCAATGTACAGCGGTGGTTCATCCACCGAGTTGGACGTCATAAGCTAACAAGAAGTCCTACGTTTCCATCCGGAAGACCAGCTAAAAGTAAATCAATATCAAGAATCACCATCGTCCTGGTATCAAAGTAGTCGCTTTGATGACACATCTTCCTCTTATCAACAAGTGCCGGTCACTGTCTGGAGTGGTGACGACCTGAGGAATACTTGGGTTATTTCTTTCTTGGGTTTTTTTTTTTGGTTAGGCTAACGTCGGAATCCAGGAAGCCATAATGGCAGAACCGGAAAAATCGAGGAGTCAGTACTTCTCACATTGGTCGCTCCCGTATCCTACGTCAAGGTGATGAGGCAACCGTTGAGAGGCGATCGAATCTGGGGTTGCATAGGATGTCAATGAGACGGACAAAACGAGCGTAAACACGACACGTCATGGAAACTGCTTCTTGCTCTGCACCCAATAATACTATCACGCACAGAAAATGGTGCATATTTGACCATTCAGCGGCACCTGAAAAACTGTACTGGATCTGATCACCGTCTTTTCCGTGCGAAAATGCGCTGCAACCATAAGCTAAAAAAGAACTCCTGTCATCGTCCAAGAAATAGGAAACAAATCGTGTGCGACGAAGATATTCCCAGTAAAGTCCTCACATCATACGACTGATAGATAAATGAAGACCCGACCGAGAACTATAAGCTGCATTTCGAAGGACTTAAAACTTCTGCCGAAGAAGCTTCAGTTCCTCAAATAAATTCAGACCGCATCCATCACCACTAAAGAAGCTGCTCGAAAAAAGAACACTGAAACTTGATCCTTCTGCAACACACTTAAAACGGCTGACAATGAATGCCTGCTGAAGAAAATCTTTGCAGGATTTACATCAGTATAGCCAGAAAAATTTATTGAAACATCTCAAAAACTACAAAGTCTGAAGAAGTGTCGTCAGGATGTAATGTTCCGCCATCTCCTCCGATAAATCAGGACGGAACTATCACATCACTACATCCTGCCATGATATGGAACTGATTTAAAAAAAGGCCCTATACCAATTTTTTCCGCACCCCAAATCGCCCTCTCTGACCTCAAAATACCCATTGGTGAAAAACTGCCTGGGTTTCCACCCACCGAAGTTCGAGTTCCGACAGAAAGCATGAAAACAGGCACAGCTCCAAAACCCCGATATTACTACAGCCTTATAGATGATACTCACAAATTATGTGTAGTCTTCGAAACCAACTTCCATCTTTCCCTCAGGAGAAAATCCCAGACAAGTGCAGCACTTCGCGCGAGGTCGTCATACCCAAGTAGGCTGACCGGAGAGATCTTCGTAACCACCGTCCAATATGCATGTTCAGTGTATTCCACAAGCTGTTTACGAAGAATGTCCTCTTCCGCTTATCGAAAACCGTAGATGAGGTGCAACCAATTCAGCAAGCAGGATAACGGCAGGCATGCTGTTGCATGGCCCACATTCGAACCGCATCACGCACGGGTCATAGAAATCTGTCGAAAATATTATTTTCCCCTTGTGCTAGCTTTTATCAACAACGAGAAAGCGTTTGACAGCGTCGAAGCGAATGCAATCCTATCAGCGCTCGTCGACCAAGAATTGGACACGTCCCATAATATGAACATTAGCAGACTGTTATCGGAATTAGCACAAACGCACATCTTTTTCATCGGCTGCTCACCATACCCACAGTGAAAGGGGTTCGATAAGTCGACACAACATCGCCAGGGCTGTTTACTACTACTGCAGTAGATAATGAAGTCACGCGATTGGAACGAGAACGGTATATGCGTTGATGGGAAATTCCTATCAAATTTTCGTTTCGTGGATGACATCGTCATCTTTTGAAGGGGCACCTGTGAAGGAGAGACGGTGCTCAATGAACTTATCGAATCGGGAAAAAAGATTGGACGGCGCATAAATACAACGAAAACCCAGTTAATGAAGAACCCAAGGCGTGAAGGTGAGCACATCGAACTGGATGGTTCTCTAATTACAGAAACCACGTTGTGCGTATACCATGGGCGCTCAATGAACATGACAAGCAACAAGGAGAAATTAGGCAGAAGAAGGAGAGCAGTATAGGCCTCATTCGGGCCACTCAAAGAAGTCACCGAGCAACGAGTGGACGCGAAACTCCGCGCTCACATTTTCGAATCAACAGTTCTTCCAGCGCTCCATTATGCAACAGAGACGTGCGCTGATAGCTGAACCACGTCCAAAATACGGTAGATCACCCATAGAGCGGTTGAACGATGTCCTCTGAAATTTGACAGGCACTTGCAACGTATAGCCGGAATACACAGCTCAGATCTTCAAACCTATTTCATTTTCGAGATTCAGGACAACACACATCCACAGCAAAACACAGATGGATCAGTCACATAATAAGAAGAACAGAAGACGGTTGGACGGAAAGAACAGTAGAGTGGACTCCAACAGAATACGAGCGTCCTCTTAGTAGACCACCCAAACGAAGGAGGACATGTTCGTTGCTAACGTCAACCATCTGCACTCGCAGATGGCAGCAATTTCAGGGTTAAGGAATGGACCTCGCGGATGTAACCATGTTCGAAGAAGACCACTGCCATGGACTACCATTCCGCCAAAGAGAGACGAATGGAAACAATGCTGGAGCCTGCAAAATCGGTGAGAACAGGCCATCCAAGTAAGTATCAAAATATCGTATTATTCCTACATTTTTTATATAAATACAGGTCGGATATTATTTAGTTGGATATTAGTTGGAAAGTTGGATATTATTCAATCCTTAACACGGTTATTGACCAGCTCGTTCGAATTTGGTTCGTCGACCGGTCCATACACACCACACTCTTTCACAATATATAGTTTCAAAAGACGTTGCAAGACATTCTTTCCTTCCTAACATCAACTTGAATACAATATGAGAGTAAATACTAGTAACGTTAAGTATTAGACTATACAAAAGCCCTTTTCCACTGCATTATAGAATTGTGCGATAAAACATATATAAATATATATATATACATATATATACATATACATATATATATATTTCGTAATGTTCAGTGGGTATTGCAAACATAGAAAAAGATTAATAATAAAGCGTTAAGGAAGGAACTTAAAAAACACTACTTTACTTGAACTATCCGCTCACTTGAATTGCAGGCATTGCCTTTGACGGTCCAACATTCCGAACCAGCTGATCTACCATGTCTGGCTGGCGACACTCGCAAAGTCGTGATGCCATACTACAATCCACTGCTAACGTCTCCAACTTTCGAATAAACTGTTCAGGTGGTCTACGTGGTAATTCTCTAGAAAAAGTGAGTCCTTTATTCTGCGATGTCATTGAATAGCCTGCCATTTAAATAAATATATTGAGCAACGAAATCCAGCACCTCGGTTGGTTGAAGCAAACCGTTCCGATTAACTTCGAATTTTCTTCATCAACACCCTGTTTTGTGAGAAAAGTCTCCAAATTCATAATTGCCTGAAACATTCAAGATTCAGTAACTTAAAAAGGTTATACCAATGAAAAAATACACATCGTAGGTATCCTATAGTCTAGAAAACGAAAAAAAGGATTACTACAACCTGAATCCGTAAACCAGTACTTTTTTAAATTCTTTAGGACATAGCTACAATACTTTCATTTAAAGGGTTCTCCACAAATGAAAAAAGGCAGCATGACCTCCTTCTCCCTCTCTATCGTCTTTGTCTCTATTTCTTCCCATTCCTCAGGTGTTTTTCCTTCAAACTCTAGAGGAAAACGAAACGACCTGAAAAATATGCTTGCAAGTCATATGACACAATTATCTAAAGATTAAATGCCATTTAAAAAAACCAACTTTACAAGAATCATGTGAATAAAGAGCCGAAGCTGCGGATAAATGGAATAGATTTTCTCCATTTCCTCACCGACTTTCCCTAGAAAGTCGAAATGTGTAGGAGAATATAAAACTAAACAAGCATCGGAAGGAGCAACCACCTGCACAGGACCACATCATAACAATATACCACGACTTCCAATAGTACTTCTTGACAGCAAATGAGCTGAACTCTTCCCTAGAAAAGAATACCTGTTCGAATTTTCTTCATTTTACATATCTGTAACATTTCGAACGAGCACCGTGCTCGTGATGATTGGCATCAATGGCGGTGTGCTGCCCACCACTTAACACTTTATAAGAACGACACTGGTTCTTTGATAAATTCTGAGGATTTTTCGATGAGTACTTTGGCACTTGAAAAGCTAAGTGACATACAGAAGAGACTTTGCCTTATTGCTCTAATGACACGTAGATTTCTTTGCAATAATTTTGCTTTTATTCTAAATCGGTTTAAAATAGGGCTTAAAAATTGTTAATAAAAAATAAAAACCAAACGTATGCACTTAGTTCGGTACATGCATATACGGCGAGGAAACTGACGTAATCCGAGAGCTTCCCACATAAAATTGAGCGTGGTCACAAAGACACGCATATTTCGACTCATAGTGTATTTTGCTGATTGAAATAAAAGCCCGAATGAAAAGCTACGTTTTGCCTATACGATGTAGATCTTTTGATTCTACGATGCTAAAATTCCGACCCTTCCGGCATTGGTCTCGATGCCGTCAGGAGAACACGCAGCGTCTCACAATATTTCGTTGATGTACGCGGCTGCCGCAGTTTCGTTAAAACTTTTAGAAAATGCTTACCGGATCAATAGTTTTTTAAAGTTTAATTCTAAACAAATTTAAAATTTAAACATTTTAGAAAACTTCACAAGTACTCCCGTCTATCAGCACATCAGTACTCACTTAGTCTACTAATCGAAAATAACCGAAATTTATCGAAAAACCAGAATTATCCATTATGTGTTAAGGTAAGAAATACAAGAACTTACGGCGCAGTACCACCTGGTGGTCGATAACTACTAAGCTGAAATAACCGGTCGATCAGCTGGACGGGATTTGACAACGTTATTAGAGGAAGATCAGCATCTAAAATGACGCTGTCTTTATTAGCATGACTCAAACGTGATGGTAAATTAAGTTATTATGATTTTTACAAATATATGAGGTAAAAAAGACTACTGCATACACTGTTCACGCACCTGAAGATCAATTTTTGGTTAAGTATAAGGCCTGTTATGCTCTATTAACAGTTACTTTACAAACTAGAATGTGAAAATCAAGTGTCGCCCAGCCAGCAATAAACCCGTGATTAGGCAAAATTAAGAATCGCACGGAAGTTTTTGCTGAGAAAACATACCTGCAAACACACGATTTTCGACAGCCCGCTTAGTCAAGCCTTCTATGAGACGTATAGCCTCTTGATTGTCCAACATGGTTATGTGGTCACCAAGAATCTGGAAAAAAAACAGTTACACAAAAGCGGATAACAGTTCTCTAACCTACTCAATGGTCGAAGCTTTCTCAAATGCGTGCTCTGAAAAAGAATTACCTATAACTAATAATTGAAGTGTGTTATCGAACTACAAGGCTGAAGAACATTCGAAACCATAATGCTTTAACGGCAGAGTAAATTATCGATTGAGCACGAAAAGAGTTGAAAGAAAGTAAAAACAGGGCTTTCGGAAAGGATAAAGGCGGAAACCCAACTGAGGTCCCGAGTATTGTTCATATCTCAGCAACCCTGTGGTTGTATTTCACATAATATAGTGCAGTGAAAAGGACGAAAACCAACAAATTAAAGTGAAGTCATCGTATCGTCAAAATTACATAATGTATACGTCACCATTCTTAAGGTCGATTCCTTCAAACGGCATTCGCATATAATCTTGAAACAAGTCGCATATTCTGATTCTGTGGGCCCTTGCTCTAAGCCGCAGTAAACTTCTGACTAAAAGAAATTTAGAAATGTAAAGGGCTCATTTTTCATGCCTAACTTAATAATCCAATAGCTATTTCTGAAATGCATTAATGTACGCACACGTTCCATGAACAGAAGCTTGTGATATGCCTGCAGGTACTCTCGAGCCGAGGGGAATATGTGACGAGCACCTTGCAACCATCTGCAAAGCGAAAAGTAGGCGATAACAATCATATTGACGATGGGGTTTTCTAATTAGTTCGCATAATTCTCATTTGTTGAGGAAAACGCTGAAAACGTTGCAAAACAGGAGTTTTGCTTGTTTTAACAACCGGATAAAAACTGAGTACTCCTCGATTTAAGTAAAAATGTTGGGCAAAGAAAAAGGAAGAAAAGAAACAACGTGAAAACATTCGCAACGACGTTAGTTTTTTGATTATTGTCAATATTTTTTGACAACTATAACATGAGGTGCTGATAGCGCGATAAACTCATGAAGCAAATTCTGCTTCATCTCTCTAAAGATGCAAGTGAGCTCTGTTAAACGACATTTAAATCTTAAAACCGACTAAAATTTAACGCTCCAAAAGTAAAAAAAGATCTGAACTTCTAAAATTTTAAATACAAGCTTGGCAATGATAATTATCAACAACACGTTCGTAGCCAACAGCGCTTTCTGCTAGACAAAGCTGTTCCATAAAATTCTTTGCCATTCTTCTGAAAGTCTCGATGAAAAAAAGTAGAAAGGCAGTAGCATGCTAAAATAAAAAAAGTCGTACTTTCTTGGCGGATAGAAGTGCATTCCAGTGACTTTACGTTAAGCAATAAAACTGTATTGATTTCCAAAACGGACCACATTTTTCCGAGATTCAGTAGATTTGAACCAATGTGCAATGTTGTGGATGTTTAAAAGCATGTATTTAGATGTATAGAGTTAACTATTACCGAAGCATGTGATTACTTGCCTTACTATCCCATCTAAGTATTCACAAAAAGCCGTTTCGAACCGATCATGCACGACTACCAGATCTGGGGTGTAGTTTGTGCCCGATCGACGAGCGTTGAACGCTTCGCGCACAGAGACACTGATTGACATTAGGGTGACGGCGCTCAAGAGTTCAGAAGCACAGCGGAACACATGATCCTGAAACCACAAACACGAAACATATCAAAACCCAATTTGATTAGTGCCAAGCAAATCTTCATCCCCATACGACGAATTCTCGCAAAAACCCAATGGAGTCAGTTAAACTTTTTTTTTCCTAAAATTCGGCTCTACTCTGTGATAATCATGAGATATTTATCCCTTTCTATTAATTCCCCTTTGAGGAATTTACCTTTCATTGTCGAGTTATGAAAACATCTACGTATCTCACCCATCACTATTCAGTTACCGTTGCTTAAACATATTTGGCACACTTTTTTCGCTTGTTGCTGTTCTTATGAAGATGGCAGGGATACCTACTTTGATTCTTCACTTAAAGAAAGAGTAACAATATGAACAGCAAATTCAATTGCTACTGCTACCAAACGTAATTTCGTGCAAAATATGTTGCATCTCGTAATAGTACCCATTATCGACTTTCTGTTAACCTCGGTATTGGATTATGATTTCGCAGCTTTCTCTCTCCGAGGTCGCGAGGTTGTTAAACATCATACGTTTACTTCCATACAATAACATACACATAACGCTTCCTTAATAAGTCGAAAATGCTCTAATAACGTCTCCTAATAACGCATACGTGACAGAGACCTTCGACATTACCGCGCTGCGCACCAACGTATCGAATGACTCCTCAATGCAAGCCATCTTTGAACTTTTTGTTGAACATGAAGGAAAAATAAAAATGCATGGCTTGTCAATCCAGTAGCTTATGGCTCTCTTAAAGGAACACTTAAATTGCTCGATTTTCAGATGGTCCGGGTAATATTTCGCGCAAATAAGGTTGGTAATGGGAGAGCGACTGTCACCAAGTCTTGCCATTGCGTTTATGTCTAAAGTAGAAGACCCCGTTTTCGATCTCCAGGCGCTACTCTCAGGTACGTAGATGATTGTTTTGTTATCTTCTCTACGCACGAGGAGATGGACAAATGCTTTGAATTATTGAACGAGCGGTTAGTGTACATCAAGTTCACCCGGAAGAAACCGAAAGACGACTGACTCCCGTTTCTACACGTTTAAATTAACTTATCAAGTAACGGTTATATGACAAAGTGGTACCGAAAACCAAGTAACAAAAACATTATGGTTCATTCCTTTCTTTCCACCCTTCACACGCAAAGACGGTGCTTGTGAAAAACATGTTTCAAACAGACACATCGGTGCGCACAAGTAGGGAGCTAAATGAAGGAATCGTGCGACTTGGCTCGGGAAATAGCCATCTCCAGTGGCTTCGAAATTGTCACCCCATGAGGTATGTTTCGAGGGAGAGCGACGCTCAAAAATGAACGCTTTGGCCGAAAGAAAGTCTCGCTTATCTTGTCCTTCGTTAGCGATGAAATAAGTGTAGCGATAAAGTTATGCTTAAGAAGGGCAGGGAATCGGTAACGGTAATTGAAATATCACCGAACACTCTTCGTCGTCAGTTAGTTCGTAACCTCCTATATGGCCATCTATATGGAACACAAAATTACGTAATCTGCCCTTGCGGCAGGGACGGTGACTGCATGAGTTCAGGTACGATATAGCTGGTCTCTTGTAGTACTTGCGGAGACGGATACATTGACGAAATGGGCAAACCTTTATGTATCCGCATAGAGAACACCTAGATTGCAAACGAAAAGCAAAACAGGGCACGCCACCAGGGACGCATACGAAACAAAAGCATAGTGGAGACAATTTTGATGTAAAAGCCGCTATCCTCGCACGGGAGCCTAAAACGCCAACGCGCAAACTCCTCGACGCTTTTTAGATAAATGCCAAAAATCCTACACTGAATAACAGGGAAGAATAACCTGAGATCACGCGTGATCTCGCCCCGTACCTTCGTATCGATCGTTGATGTGGGGAGGTGCAGTCGTCAGCCATATGCGACTCTGAGCAGCTATTCTTCCTCGGTGGAAGACAGGGGAAAAAGCGGTGGGTTTTTTCGAAAAGCCGTTGATCTTGTAATTACCGTTCAGATTTTCATCTTTCTGTTTGTGCTGTTGAAGTGTTTGACCTGGTAAGTTGCGTTTTAGTGTACCCTTCCAGACTCTGAAGAAGGCGATTCTACCGAAACGTCAGCTACGGTTGTGTTGTATGTGTGTTATTGTATGGAAGCAAACGTGTGCTGTTTAACAACCTCTAGATTGCTGAGAGAGAATACGAAGAATTTATATGTTCTATTTACTTGAATTGTTGAGTTCTCAAGGCTTGTTTCTGTTCACATCACCAGAATTAGGAAGCAAATTAGAACCATTTGAGATCTACAGAGACATGTTCGAAATGTCAACCCAGAGCTTAGCCAAGGAACCCTGAACGAACTTTCTCCAAAGTTATACCTTTTTGTTTTCTGCCTACTATAATTTCGCGGCAGGGTACTAAGCGAAATACAACCACAACGTTGCTGAGATATTTGCAAAACTCTGGACCGCAGGTGTCTATGGTGGGGAACGAACGCGCTATTATCCTTTCCGGGGAGTAACGCGTTCACCACCACACCATGCGGGTCCTTCGTTTCGCATGTCTCTCAGCTATTTCTATCGATCTTTTTGCCACAGCAATCACCTGTCAGCGGGGTTGATCTGGGGAGCGCAAATCGGCATGGTGTGGTGGTGAACGCGTTACTCCCCGGAAAGGATAATAGCGCGTTCGTTCCCCACCATAGACACCTGCGGTCCAGAGTTTTGCAAATATCTCAGCAACGTTGTGGTTGTATTTCGCTTNAAGCGAAATACAACCACAACGTTGCTGAGATATTTGCAAAACTCTGGACCGCAGGTGTCTATGGTGGGGAACGAACGCGCTATTATCCTTTCCGGGGAGTAACGCGTTCACCACCACACCATGCCGATTTGCGCTCCCCAGATCAACCCCGCTGACAGGTGATTGCTGTGGCAAAAAGATCGATAGAAATAGCTGAGAGACATGCGAAACGAAGGACCCGCATGGTGTGGTGGTGAACGCGTTACTCCCCGGAAAGGACAATAGTGCGTTCGCTCCCCACCATAAACACTTGCGGTCCAGAGTTTTGCAAATATCTCAGCAACGTTGTGGTTGTATTTCGCTTGGTACCCTGCCGGGAAAATTGTAGTAGGCAGAAAATAAAAGGTAAAAACATTGTCATTGAATACTTCGTGTGTTGTTTCGGCTGCTGCTTGAGGATTTCGTGTTATCCATGAATGTCGCAGAATGTTGATCGATCGATCCTCCTTGCAGTCCTAGAAATGAACTGGCTAGAGCATTCCCACGTGGACTGGGGGAGATCATTGGGAGTGAGTCGAACTTGCGCCTCTGCTTCCTGATCAACGGCATCACTAATCACGGTTCTATCCCACCTCCCAAAAAGAGCATAAGGGTGGTGAAAAACAAATACCCTTCACTTTTTCCACCACACTCATTCCCATTGACGGATAATTGCTGACGACACCGTTAGGGTAAGAGACTGGTTGAGAGAATGGCAAAACAAGGGCCTCAGTGGTGCAGTGTGTAACACGAGAACCCAGGAAAGGGTAATCGCGGGTTCAAATCTGGTCTAGTGTCTAAGTTTCGCAAATATTTCAGCATCATTGTGGTTCTATTTCACGTAATACCCTACCATAAAAAAATAAAGGGCAGTAGATAGAAAGTTAAAGATTTCGATTACAATTACCTGTATTCCGTGTTCACTTTTTGCAACCTCGTCAACAATCGTACAGAGATAGCTGTTAGCTAATATGTAAAACGGAAACTCGTTTCGTTGAAAGAATCGAATCACTTCGCGTAAAAGCAGTCGCACGGGCTTGCAATACTCCTCTCGGGCCATTATCATTTCCGAAATTTCCTCACCGAAAATCTGTCACAAAACGATCCATTGGCAGATAATGCGAAGTAGTTAAATAAGCAACACAATATAATAACTGCCTCAAAGGTCCCCATTAAAAATCACAAAAAAAAAGCATCTCCTATCAAAAAAGGAATGGTATCTCACTTCTGCTGCCCTTGCTCGATCAAACTGGAACAAATTTGTTAGTATAGAGACATTGTGAGGATGTCTAGAAAAACATGTTTTAGTTTTACAGACGCAAAGCAGCACTGCCTTAGTCTTGACGAACCTCGACATAACGTGACCAAATTCATTTTCCAGCAACAGTCGAATAGCAGTTCGCATATTGCAGTCGTCTTGGCGAACCAGCATTTCACGTAACGACACAGTAAAAACTGACGTAACCTAAGAGCTAACAATGGCGGACATTCAACACCAAAGTCCACATCAAACTGATAAAACGCAATGTAAGATGGCCAAAGGAGTAACGCCGTATAAATTTTAAACTAGCGCGACCTCTAGTTACCCTAGTAACCTATGAGTGCTAAAAATATTACGCTTCCAATTCTAATCATTTGAAAGATTATACTACTCATTAGACAGTACTTCCCGTTAAAAAAACCATCGCATCTAGAAGAATAATTATGCGTCGATAAGACACTGAGTCAAATTAACACTATGCAATTGTAAAAAGAACTTACGTTCTTGTTCTTCAACATCCTCATTTGGAGCAATCGAGCTAGGATTGACCTCTCCTGAGAAGAATCAGAAGCGTTCCCATAATTCAGTGCGACAATTAGTAGCATTTGCATGGCTAGTCGTTGAAGCTAATGAAAAATTAAGTTTTGTTTATAGACACTCCGAAGTACACCACGAAAAAAGTATTAAAGCCAAAAAAGAAGACGACACTAGAATGGTAACTGTTGGCAGTGACAACGAAAGCTTAGTGAACACTGCGAATGAACTAATGAGCACATTAAAGTAATTTCAAAAAAAATCCACTTAATCAGTGGCATTGAAATATTCCATGAGCAAACGGTAACGTGGTATGGTCAGGAAAAAGTTGACAATAGAAGGTGATGTGGAATTCTTACCTTGACATGCTGTAACCATCCGTCAATTCGCTTAACGACGTTGAATCTTACATCTGGGAGCGCAAGCAGAGGAGCTACAACACGAAGAAAATGAACAGGTGTCGTGTCAGCTCGCAGTTCCCACCACGGAGTCAGGGCATTCAATGCAATCGTTGCTATTTCCTCCTTGGCTGCAGTAGACGGATATCGATCAACACAAAGCTAAAATGAATTATATCAATAGCGTAATTTCAACTGTGACGGAGATTTGTCAATCGTTCTTTGCCATTGAATTTACAAGACTATAGCGAAGCCAAGAACTCACATTTAAGCCGTCCGGCATAAAATCTAGATCCAATTCGAGATGACACGCGGCTAACATGTCTTTAGTTGGGTAGATAGTTCCAAATGACTTCATAATTTGGGCAGAAATGGATGATGACGGAGACTGAACAAAGGATGGATATCCTTACACAACCAGCGATTCTGCTTATACCCCGTTTTCACGCTTTTGCACCTCATATGTCGTAAGATAAATCCTTTATCATTTTGATAACAAACCTTTAATCATTAAAAGGCCAGCACATACACTGTTTCATATGTGGCCACGTACCTTGAACACCCAATTCCGCTCTCCTAATGAATCGTGCATGAATGCTGTTACATAATAAGAGTCCCATGTTGCTTGCCCATTAGCCAATGCAACCGTCAGCGCTGACAGCAGCGCTTGTCTTTCAGCATTCATTGGTTTCATACGACACATTAGATTCAGGAGACATTTTTGTAGCGCTACGTGCTAAACACGCATGAAGATCTAATCATCCAGAAAGGAAAAGTAGTAAAGACCTAAATACCTGGATCTTCTCATTGTGTTCTTTTATAGTAACAGCTACAATGGTGAGCAGTTGATATTCAACACAAAATTTGCTTTGATCTGCCCGCTTGTCAATGAATGTCCGCAGTGCGGCAGTGAGGAGCCTAGCCAACTGAAAAAAGTAAATGTCAATAATCCTAGAAGTTGAAGCCAAAACCAGATTCCTCAAGTAGCGGCCACTGATTAACATATTTCTGACTAGCACATATTCTGTGACGAATTTTGCAAAATACTACTCGAATGGAGTAGTATTTAAAGAAAAGTAGCTTCTAGTTTATCCTCTATTTAGAGGAAAATAAGTCGTTGGGTGGAAAACAATAGAAGCTAGGCATAACGTAAACATGAAAAAAACTCTACCAAGAAGGAAACAACGAGCATACTAAGAAGTCTGAAGAATTTGAGAATCCTATAATAAATCCCATAATTAACCACAGTTTTAATCTTAACATTTACAGTAGAAAGCTGGTTTTCCGGGAATCGCTAATCTTTCCATGATTAGGAAAATTAGAAAGGTGATCAGCTTATAGAGGAGGTAATGGCTTATCGACATAGAAGCAAATTCGGTGCTTCAAAACTATTTGTTGGATTTTTAAACCTGTTTACCACTGGAGTTTGAAAAGTAAATGAAAACGAAGTTTAAATTTTTGAGATTCAAACCGAAATCCTGACAGTAAAAACATAAGTAACGCATTTAGGGACCTCATCTGCTCTAATAAAGGAAATACCGCTTGTTGAATTGTCAAGATACGAGTCTCCACTAGAAGTCACAAAAATGCGATGAAATCAGAGAACCTGCGCTCCATGAAATCGGAATTTCATCACGGCAAAACAAAAGAACCGGTACTTATTGGTGAATATCAGCAAATTCAAAAACCTTCTATTTTAATAGATAAAAATTCACTTTCGGTTGAGATATATTGGCTTAACGTTGGGAGCGGCCGTTAAGACAGTATCGCGTTAGTACAAAGCAACTCACATCAGATCCTTCTCAGTGAATAAAGAAGGATTCTCTACAAAAAAAAAGTACGACTCTCCAAGTTGACAGAAAAATTACTTTCAAAATAAAAAATTTATGCAGAGCAGACCACTCTCACCTTATTAAATTTTCCTTGGTCGATTGACTCTTGGATTAATGTGCTATATGTCGAGAAATCAATCGTAGTCATTTCGCAGAACTCTCGCCATGATTCATCCAAAGCTGGCCGACTTCCAATAGCTGAGGATCCCGCTAAACGCGCGTATATAGCTAAGGTCAAAGAAATACCAAACAGTGATTTTATAAAGCTAAACTCAACGGCGAATTTTAATTGAAAAGATAAAGGCTAAAAAAGGACAAAGTTCTCGGCGTTGATCGATCTCTAAGGGATGGGCTATGCAATCGACTTCACTAAGCATCGTTGGAGGTGACTGAATGCATATCTGGCCTTTACAATGCCTCGCAGTGGCCTACCGATGTGTCAAGTTAGTGGTGCTATCCTTGCAGACAAGTCATGCTAATTTGCCCACCCCGGAAGGATAGAAGGCTTGGAGGGCTAGGGGCGCGGGATTCGATCTCATGTGTATTGCAGAGCGCTTCCGACACTCGTCCTTTATTAAAAAGATAAAGCTTGAAGAATTCACAATGAAACATGAACAAAGAATGCTACAAAATCAAATAAAGGATCAACTAACAAGCCACTCCCAAGGATTGAGACGATGATGATGGAAACAGTACCTGAAATTGATGTTCCCTTTTTAGCAAATATGGGGTTAATCTTGCCTTCTTAACATAACGACACAATAGAACATAACCATAAAACGATGATTAAGCCCTGCGGTCCCTTTATACAACCAAAGATTTGAAGCCTCAAAAAAGTCTATCTGATGGGATACATCTATTTGACACCCCCAGTCCATAGTCATTATACAAGATCTCGACAAAAAGAAAAAACTGACATTACCTTCGCAGGCACTTTTAACGGTTTCGTTGCCAAGCTTTTCGGTGCTAACACTCCCGACGGTAAGCTTTTCATTGGTCCTTTCGCCTTTACTTTCGGTTTGAGTGGAATCATCATGAGCCTCTCTAGTAAGCGAACCGAAAAAGAACAGAATTAAGATTGTCAATACGAAAAGATCTAAACAACCAGCACTACAACGCAAAATTAATTGTATAAAGGGAATGAAATTAAATGACGATGAAAGACAGTTGTGAAAAAAGTCTCACAACAAGGTGTATGCTGGATCGCCTCTAAGATTGGAGGATTTCCAACTGGTATTATGTCTTTAGAAACTCACCAACACTCAGGAGTTGAAGGATATTCCTCTACCTATTTATTGCGATCCGACTTTCAGATATTGTGCTGATCTCAGCACCAGTTTCATTCGGATCGTCGTCTCACAGACGTCATCCAGAAAATTTTCGGACTTTCTGGTGCGCCTACTCGGTCACCACTCCGTTTGAGCACTTTCACTCCATGAATACGGAGCGATTTGATCCATACTGGAAATTTTCCACAACTACACTGGAGCATCCCCATATCCTCAACGCAAACAATCGTAGGCCTTTGTGGACCATGAAGAATCTTTCTCCAGAGAAGTCTATTAAAAGTATACTGACCCTGGGAAGAACACAGGCTTGGTGGACACTGGGCTCAGTCGGCCTATCCAAGAATAATGCGCGCATTACGAAATGGCATCTCTGACCACCTTCGTCAATCAGTGGGAAAAATAAACCACCGAGATTAACTAAAGGCCGGCGTTCAAAATTACCACTTTGTTACAGACTAGCTGATGTAACAGCGGTTTCTGAACGATGGATTATCTTCACGAGAAACGAACCACCAGTAGGTTGATAGTTTGTTCTTGTGAGGACAATACTGCATAAAAAGGCACTGCCGAGTGAGGCGACTTCTTCCGAGAAGTGATCTATTGGATTCGACCCGATGGCACGGCGAAGACCTCCGTCGGAAGAACGAACAACAGTGGAAAATCGACTCGGACCGCACCGGCTCCGAATTAGGCAACACGCCGAAACATTAGCTGAATAAAATCTAATAACAACCTTGTATAGTAGCTTATAAACGAATGAATACACACTGATTGTTCATAATGAGTTTAAGCGAAAGTCAGTTTTAAAAACATGTGGTCTGGACTTAAGGTGCTCCTTAAAGTAGAAATCACAAGATTGGTTGGAATTAAGTGAGAAAACCTTTAAATCGTATCCTACAGGACATAACATGGTTTTCTTTCTAATGTAATTAACAGATGAGAGTAAGGATTCTCTATGCAAACAAGGGTCCATGAGAGAAAAAAGAAGAAAAAAGACCGAAAGACCATGGTCCTTAGAATATATAAGGTACGACACAAAATTTAATTGCTAACAAAAACAAGAATGTTAAGAATTCATTAAGAAAAGGTTAAAAATAATATTTTCATGACCTCCTTCACATCTGTGACCAGAACCAGTTCACTTTGATCGAGTTCATGATCTCAGTTGCCAGACTCTGTTAGTTACCACTACGTCATCTAACGTGTACATCATAGCAACACATTTATTCCAATAACAGTGGAAAATAATCTGAAAGCATTAAAAGAAGAAAATCGCGCTAAATGAATCCGAAATTATAAAACGAGACTTAACTTCAAAAATTTAGCAACATTTCCGTAGTTGCGGACTCTGAAGATTACAGTTTAGAATGCGCACGTCTACGCGTATTTCCCTATGACATGTATTTAAAATGTAGCATAACCCATGTGTAGGGTAGTTTTTGAGCCACATTTGATGGTACAAACCTCTGCCTGAAGATAGTAATTCCTGTGCTGAAGGTGAGGTCATGAAATATTGAAGAACATGACGGCATCTGAAAACGCCGCTGTTAAGAACTTTGTTCTGTTTCTTCGCAGAATAGTATTAAAAGGCCTTCTCAACAACACTGAAAGCATGCTCATAACACTAAAAGAAGCCAAAATTTATGAGGTATATCATGAAATTAGTGGTGCGTGTAGCGTAGTGGTCGGAGGAGCTCGGCAGTACACTTGAAATCGATCCCCTCCCCTTTGGCCCACTAAGCCTTCCATCCCTCCGGGGTTGGCAAATTGGTGCCAGACTTCTCTGAGAGGATAGCAACACTGGCTCAATACATCGGTAGGCCACGGCGGCGCATTATAAAGGCCTATGCATTCAATCACCTCCAAACGATGCTTAATCAAATCGAATGCATGGCGCATCCCTCAGGGATTGATCAGCGCCGACAGTTTTATCCTTTTACCTTTTTATCATGAATTACCATAATGAAATATGAGTTTTCAGCAAAAGGAAACTTGTCCCAGTAATGGGTTCTTTTTTTTTCCTTTTCAAAAATCCTCTGTTGCGGTGTTAAGTTTAACAAACTCACTTGACTGTACCTATTTCAGGTCAAAAACGAAATACATTGATTGAAAGAGTTTTCCACACGTTGCTGGAATTCGAATGGGATTTTAAAATCTCGTTTAAATGAAGATCTGTAATCGTAATCTCGTGGAAGACTCAGTGGCATACTCACAGAAAAGAGCGAGTGTGTGAAGAAGCTGTTTTATTTCCAATGCAATTGAAATCTTGGTATCGTCGCCTTTCTTGGAGGTTATGGGGGTCTTTCGCTGACTAGATTGCAGTCAATTTCACCTTCCTAGGGTTTGAAAAAGGCGAACCTTTCGACGTTTTACCGTCTCATCATGACCGGTAGGCGCTGCCGGGTGTCGGGCTGCGATGTACAGCGAGGTTCATCCCCCCAGCAGGGCTTCCTAGGCTGAAAAGGAGTCCAACGCTTTCATTGGGAAGCACAACCAAGAGTGAACCAATACCAATGCCAGGAATCACCACCTTGCTCGCACCGAACTTGTCGCACAGTGGCAAAGCTAACTCTGATCTACAATGCCAGCGACTACCGCAGATGGTGACGACCCGAGGAAGGAAGGCTTCGGCTGGGCTGACCTGAAGGAGTCCAAGGTAGCACAATGGCTGAACCAGCAAATTTTAATTGTACTTGGGCCGGCACAATCAGTGAAGGTGGGTATCAAACTATCTAGATTAGAAGAAGACGAAATCCGCCGAAATGTCGCCAACTATTAACAAATAGTATAATGACATCCCCGTGTTTGCTCATATAGAGAACAGTGAACTTGCTAAAGCTTAGTCGATTGATGACAGGTAAAACTCTGCCCACTTTAAGATTCCTGCGCAACCTCACCGTTTCTGAGCCACTGGGTCACATTTACACTGGCTGGACAATGGTAATGCAATCCAGATACTTACTTGCTTAGATGCTTGCACGTTTTACCTTTACGAATCGTATTAATTCCATCATGGCTTCCACTGCACTGGTAATTTTCTGACGAAAATTTTCCTTGAATTTCGGCAACCTACATGCCAGATGTAACCTCATGCAGTTGCCAACCTTTGGGGAACGCTGTACCACCCTTTGATCAAGTTTCTTTTATTCCCAAGAAAGCGACGATTCACATGGATCTGATTTAAGTTCTTTCTACTTCTGTTCAGCAAACACGAGGTGCTATTTTATTTCTTTATTTACGCACAAGCTGACGTTTCGGCGGATTTCACCTTCCTCAGAGCCTGGAAGGGTAAGTTGACAGCAATCCACTCGGCCAAACACCTCCATAACCAAACAGAGAAAGTGCTGAACCAAGATTTCAATCACATTCAGCATAGCTCTGCACACTCACCGCTTTCTATGAGTCTTCCATTGAGTATATCGCGTGAAGACCGACCGCACAGAATTCACATGGAAGCGTAATGTGCCTCTCCCATCAGAATAACAGGTTTATACACTGTCCAATATCACGAGTGATAACGAGGCATTCCTCCCTGCGGTTCATTTTCGGATTCTTGGAATTTATCCAGAATGCCTCTAGAGTTTTGCGCGCTTGTGTTCTCGATTCTTGCGCGAGGATCGTAACCCTTACTTCAAAATCTTCTCCGTTATGTTTCTGCGTGCTATGCGTACCTAGTGGAGTACTTAGCTTACGTTTGCCGGCTAGGTGTTCTTTTATACGTACGCAGAGTGGTCTACCCGTTTCGCCAACGTATTCGTCCCCGCACGCTTTACAAGAGATCAGATAGACTGTACCCGAACTCATGCAGTCACCGTCTCTACCATTGGGGCAAATTATGCAATTCTGCGTTGCACATAGACGGTCGTATAGGCGGTTACGAACTAGCTGGCGCCTTAGATTAATCGGTGGTATTTCGATTATCGTTACCGAATTCTCTAGACCGGCCCTTCTTAAGCAGCGTTTTATAGCTGCACTTACTTCATTTGAAATGAAGGGCAGTATAAACGGGACCTTGTTGTCGCTAGAGTTATCGTTGGGGTACCTGTGGTTTCCTCTACACCCATCTGGAGCTACGGTTTCGTAGCCATTAAAAATGGCTATTTGCCGTGCCAAGTTCCGGGACTCCTCTCTCTGTTGTCTCCTTGTGCACACGCTGGTATAAGTTCGCTGATTTAAGTTCGCTTTTAGGATGCAAATGTTGGGGCCTGTTACAGCTTTGGTGAATCTCACGAAGGATGAACTCCGTTGCGTATGCTTCAGTTCAGCATCTACGAAAACTTCTGAGCACTAATGAGATGGGTACCACAGATGGGGATGATGAGTTATTAGTGCGCATTTATTATTAAACAGAGTTTTCATGTTACATCGCCGTCGAGCGATCGGTCGATTTTTATATCCCTACACCCACATTTATATTCAGTTATGTACCGAATCATTTAATAGGACGACTAATCGGAGGAATCACTGCCGAAGCGAACCAGCCCTCAGATCGATATTGTGAAGACATGAAAACCCCTTGATGGATTACGTTAGGACTCCAAGGAAAAACAAATTTCCCAGCCAACAATGAGCCAGCCTCAATATCATGAACACTGGATACACTCACCTATGACGTTAAGTATTCAAACAGCCGGTGAGGGGCGATTGATTCACGGGCTGTACAGGTAACCAGTGGAGCATGATCGAACCAACACGCCCACGATGAAACGCCGAATAAAATCATCCTACAAAACACAACAGCAAAAAGACCAACATTCACCAATTAAATGACGGAGCTGTGTCAATCGTTGAGAAAGGATCTCGTCACGACATGACAGTTCGTCGACTTTACTGTCCATGCCACTGTTGTCCATTCTTTCGATTCATATGAAACCCTTCCTCTTCACCTTCAGATCTTTCGTCTTCATCCCATGTATCGTGAGAAAATCAGTTCCATGAATCGCTACTCATCGATCCATACAACTGATGAGGAAGTAGCTTGCAGCAGTACATCTTTGAATAAATTTCGCGTCAAGTTTCAGATTAGGAAAAACAAATTTCAAGTGAGTACAGAGTCGAGAAATTTGAAATACAAGACAGATGAGAATGGAGACCGCCTTGCTGGGCTGTTGTTCACAGTACGCCTCTTCCGCAGAAATCCATAGTTGTAGAAGAAAGGACCACGGATCTCCTTCACAGAGGGATCTCATGCCGGTTAGTCGCGAGGCAACGTGTCGCGTCCACGGTGGCGCAAATGTGGCTAAACGTGGGCGAAAGCGATCTTATGCTTTACTGAGAAGTGGGTAGAAGCGAGGTATAGACTCCCCGTTTCCGCTACGCCGATTTGGCAGACGCCTTTTGTGTTGTCCACTTGTCCTTATGTTCATTCAAACGAGGAATGACCCAAATCAGTATTGTTAACCAGGCTGAATTAGTGCTAGTCGACTTTGATAATGCTTATGAAAAGATCGGTATTGGACCAAATCTTACAAAAACGGTGTTGATGAGGTACGTTTTGATTCCGCATGCCCCACTTACGCTCAGCGGAACGAATGTCTCCGAATGCTCCAGCTGCATCTCTCTCTCTCGTAAACCTGGTCGATAGCTAAGCAGAATGAAAGATCAATCAGTCAGCGCTATGGGACGCGCAGGTGAAAGGACCATGCTAGCAACATCCCGTGTTACTGTCACACAAGTGAGAGAGAGGATCTGAAGCTCCCACCTACCTCGACGGAAAAAATCAAAGACATTTTCTACACTCCAAATTTTGGAAAATAAGATGCGTAGAGAATATGAACGGCAACATATGAACAAGAGCAGTTAGCGACTGGATTCTTCGACTTCCCACAGGAAGATCAGCGACCCGATGGTCAGAGTTCTTCACGGAGACCCAGGAAGGAAGATATGATGTTCAACGAGTCCTTAGAACATGCAGAACCGACTGGACTACTCTTTTACGCGACAAGGAAAAATGAGAGCTATACTGGCGCTTGCTCGAGTCACTTCACGATCAATATGGGACGACAGGCAGTACAGGTGATACATGTGGACAATTTACCTATCCTTCAACTTTCTAACAGATGACTTCCACGTGGATGCGGTCAGTGCAACGTCCTAAGGCATCAGTTTCGAAGATTTTCACCATGTTTTTTTATCCGAAAAACACTGTTTACCAATGTTATTGATTCACAGTAGTTCTTTTGTATGCATTTTGTCCATGTTATATAAAATTGCATGAAACCCACTGTAGTCCTTTAGTTGTGTTTTCAGTAGTTCTTTGACTTCACATTCGAACATAGAGAGATAAAGGAAATGATGTGAAACAGGGATGTCTTTGTGGACGAGCTCGTCCTTTGTTGATTGGTCTCTTTCTTGTCGAGCCAGCATATCTCTGTTGACGTTTTTTTTCCTTTGGAAATTCGGTTAAGAATAAACCTATGCCATTGCACGGACCGATGGTATGCAGATATCTTCTACTCCAAAGCACTGGAAAGAACGGAGTAACAAAGCCTAAAAACCCTAACCAACCCGCTCTTCCCTGCTTGTACAGATC